TCAGTATATTACTGGTATGTCACTTCTCAAATTGGGTCACTGTGATTGGCAGAATTCCTCTAGACTTAATGAGGCTGCTGTGGATTTATTGACTGATGATGCCAAAATGGTATTTTTGTAAGAAATCATTAGATTGCAACAAGACTTGTCTAGTTTCACCCCAGCTGGATACCTTCATTTTCATATTGGTAAAGATTTGAGAAAGCCTCAGTGATCTGATCAGTAATACAAGAGAGTGCTAATAAAATTAGGTCTCTTTGACTTTAACCTTGTTTGTAGAAATTTACTTGTGTAGGCAATAATTTCTGAACCATTCTACCTAGAACTTTACCCATGTCATACATTTGGATAGTGGTGGGTCGCAGTTTAATCTTTTCACAATAGTTTTCAGTATACTATCTGTGTCTGGAAATCTCTCCTCTAAAAATTTTGACCATCTTTTTAAACCTGAAAGGTTTTTTTGACCACCATGTAGCTATTTTTCTACTTTCTTAGCATTTCTTTCTTTTCTCACTATTCTACTTATGACATTTGTACATATTGGTACAATTGTCCTTTGTATTATTTGATAAATGTTTGTTTGTTTTTTTTTCTCTTTTAAGTTCTTTGAATTCCTGGTAGGAAAACACATCTGTGGTGTATATATATATACACAATGATAAACACTTTCAATATTAGGAATGACGCTTTCTAATGTCTGAACAATTGTTTTCCTGGAATGATATCGTGATTGTATTTGCATTTGATATGATAGATTGACAATTGCAAAGTGATGAAAAGAATTTCAAGAGTGCTGAAAATTGGAGTTGATAAAACAAGACAAAATGTTGAATGGAGCTTGGAAGCTGACAGGTTGGTTCATAAGGCCATGCACAAATAGAAAGGAGAGGATAGAGATAAAAACCTGACGGAAACAGATTATCAGTTATCAGCTACTGGTTTAGTAAGATTTATTATATTCTTAATAACTATTGATTAAGATGAAGTGCTGTGTGTGTATTATTTCTGTGGTTATGCACATCAACATGCCATGATTTGATACAATCATCCACCCACTGGAAAAGCGGCCACTTAGATGCCACACAATAAAGCTGTTTTGCGAGGCCGGTGGGACAAAGTCTTGCCATGATGGCAGTGGGGTCTGTTGGTTGCTGGATTTAAGTGGGACATATATTGATTGTCTGGCAAGTGATAAAAATACACAGTCACAGAATCAATAGAGCGTCACAAGACAATACACTCTCTGAGAGTGTAGTCCTAATACAGTAGTCGGGTAATTCTGCTCATACCCAAGCTTCTGCCACAGGCTCTTTACTTGCATTTACTCGAAGGTAAGTACTGTAAGATGCACAATCTTGGGAACACTTGGAATGTTTTTTGAGGCCCTGAACATGTATATTTATTCACAGGTAATGTTGAATGGGGCTATAAAGTATCGGGCCCTGTACATGTATGTATACTCTAAGGTATATTTGTATCTATTACTGAACTTGTATGATTGTTACTCAATATTAATGTACATGTACATACAACAGTATGGCAATTTTTCAAAAGTTAAACATGAATGGTTGTAAATTTGTGAGCTTCGAGGGGAAATAGCTCAAAGAGCTTCTTTAATTAAAAAAAGTGGTGAGGGGGGGGGGGGTTATTTAAAAAAGGTAATACATAAAGTTTTGGTAAAATTTGGAATATTATTGCAAAAACGCTGTATTTCAATAACAAATTTTAGTGCCAAAATTATTTTCAAGTCAAACCTTTATATAACATGTTATTTTATGGTAATAAATATAATTTGTTTGTAAGTCGATGCTAATTTGATTATCCTGAAGATATCCAGTGAAGCTTTTTTATCACTCTATCCTCCCATTATCCAGTGAATTTGCCTGTGTAATATTTTGCATATATCACTAATATAATATACCCTGGAGAGTTTTTCATCGGCTGCACCAGTCAGAAATTGATTGTGATGTCATAATATGGAGGATGATGTTGCAATTGTACATTACGCATTGAAACTGACAACAAAATGGTTGCCTCATTTTGATTTAGTTCTCCATAATAATATCTAAAATGAGAGTACATTTCGTATAAGATTTTGTGAAACTCAACTCCAAGTTTTAAATTTTGCTTCCTAAGACTCACAAAAATAAAAACCAAAACATCATAAGAGGGGATAAAAGAGCCAACACCTTGCTTGTACATGATGGTGTATCAGGTTTGCCATCTAGATATGGATATCTTATAGTAAGCAAGGTGAATGACTTAAACATATAGACAAGGAGATACAATAACAACACAACCTGGTGTACTGTTAACAGTGTTTTATATAATTTTAATCTATATTCATGTATGCTGACCATTTTTGTGCGGGAAAGGGTTCATCAGAGCAATTACAATCATTTTGTCATTTCCTAAGATGCAGATTCCTGTTCTTAGCTGATTGTAGATATCATCAGTTGATGTTATGATTGTGGTAACCTTAACGTCATGTATTGAGTAACCATTTCTATGAAAATAGTAGTGTATAAAAAGTCGATTTCTGTAACACTAATTTCAGTTTTATAGTGACATAGTAATGGTTTAATGCCAGGGTGAAGTATATTATGTCCTCTCTTGAGTGTGGCCAATTGAAACAGAGATTGCCTTTATATCTCCACTGTACTATGGGTGTTTGATTATAGTTCAAATGTACATAAGGCCCAGTGAAGAGTACATCAGGTTGTGTTATGATTTCAAATCCTTGAGTAAAACTAAGACATGTTTTTTTTTCATAAAATCTCATATGAAGTGGAAAGTCATTATATCCTGTACAAATTAAATATATATTGTGTATGTACATTTTAACTTTGCATTTTATCATACATTATATACAATTTGCCTACATACACATGATTGCCACATCTTTTTAAGGTTATTAACCCACTAGTCAATGAAAGTAACAGCCCATTTTAAAATCAGAAAAACTTTCAGACATCTCAGTGAAATATGTACATTGAAGTTTTTTGAAGAAGTTTGGGTTAGAGAGATGTGATGGTGTGATATAGGTAGTGTGCATCTTGTTACCAAGCACACCTAGTAGTTCAGGAATGTATTACGTAGTAGGTGTGTGTATAAGGCTGACGATAAAAAGTTTATAAAACACACTGCGTAAGTACCTACTTTTCTATTTATACTTTAAAATGTATTGATCACTCATTATAAAAGAAAACATTGACAAGGTCTACTAAACTGCTAGCTCACGTTTGGTAACCGCTTCATTCTGTACATAAGCTGACTGATCTGAAAAGATATTACAGAAGGGACGTAGTTCATCAAGCTAAGTACAGACCTAGCACACTAACTGTTATTACAAGGTCTTACTGATGTCCTAGAAGGGGCCTACTCCATCAAGCTGTGTATAAACCTAGTATACTAACTGATCTGACAAGCCTTACTGATATCCTAGAAGGGTCCTACTCCATCAAACTGTGTATAACCCTAGTATACTAACTGATCTGACAAGCCTTACTGATGTCCTAGAAGGGTCCTACTCCATCAAACTGTGTATAAACCTAGTATACTAACTGATCTGACAAGTCTTACTGATGTCCTAGAAGGGGCCTACTCCATCAAACTGTGTATAAACCTAGTATACTAACTGATCTGTCAAGTCTTACTGATGTCCTAGAAGGGTCCTACTCCATCAAGCTGTGTATAAACCTAGTATACTAACTGATCTGACAAGTCTTACTGATGTCCTAGAAGGGGCCTACTCCATCAAACTGTGTATAAACCTATATATAACTGATCCTTACTGATGTCCATCCTACTCCATCAAGCTGTGTATAAACCTAGTATACTAACTGATCTGTCAAGTCTTACTGATGTCCTAGAAGGGTCCTACTCCATCAAGCTGTGTATAAACCTAGTATACTAACTGATCTGACAAGGTCTTACTGATGTCCTAGAAGGGTCCTACTCCATCAAGCTGTGTATAGATCTAGTACAACTCCATAGTTGATGATTTTTTGATGTGATAGAGAGCTTCTGTTATGGAGTGTAACTGTCCCTAAAATTGAAAAAATCTCAACTATTATATAATATTTGTGTGATATATCATCTTTCTTAATAAATGAAGTCCATTTCATTTCTGATTTCACGGTCAAAGCAAGATCAGCTGTCTGTTTTTTATTCATTTTGTGATCAAAGACAAGATGTCCTAGTTTGGCAAACCTTGGCATATTTAATCGGGTACAACATCACAGTCTCTAATTGCCTTTGAGATTTACTTAGGAATGCTTGAATTCACGATTGAGGGGATTCTATCTCTGTATTGATTGTAGTTATTGTATTAACATTCTCAGTTTTAATGGGCTTCTTTGTGTTTGTTCTCATTTCATCATAAAATCAATGATTATTTGAGATTCCAGTGTGATGTTTTAGGTGATTAAGATTTGTTAGAGATCTCCACATCAGTTCTGGGTAAGTTATAGTCAGTCATCCCATTAGTGCTGGGTAATTCAACTCAAGTTAGTTTGGACTTACAAGCTAATGAGCTTTGATGTACATAGGGAATGACTTGTTAATGAACTGACACTTTAGGAATGAATTCTGCTTATAACTTACCACATCTTCATAGACTGAAAGGCCAATAATTTAATTGGTCTACATACCGGTATATGTCTTTTTTTTTCTAATCAACATTATGACCACAATTTTTTTCTCCTTACTCAGTATTGACTATACACAGAACAGAAGGCAGTTTTGTCTCAATACTCAATATTGACCACACACATAGAACAGAAGACAGTTTGGTTTCCATATTCAATATTGACCACATAATAGGAAGCTCCATCCTTTTGCATAGATTCATAACCTTGGATGGAAACATGTTTCGTTTATTTCGAAAAAAGATGTACATTTCATATTTCTTCAAATCTAAAAGACTCTGTCAGAAGGAAAGAAAGTAACTTCAAAAACTAATATGACAATTTTTCTTTTGTAGGTTGTAATGTAGGAGAATGCCCCAGAGGTTGCGTCGGCCCCGCCCCCGGGCACGAATCAATGGCTGGACACTGCCTCCACACCCATTACAGTGTGTTGCTTGGTTTGCAGTTATATACTTTGCCTTCTTCTATTTCACAACCTTCGTGCCGGCCCTTCCTGATGACTGGCAGATTGCAGCCTATGTTGTATCCTTTTGAAACTTGGATGTATTGGATATTACCAGTAATTTCTACAGATCAGTAAATAAAGAAATTAGTAGATTATGTAATTATCTGAATTTGATGATACTTGATCCCTGATTGACTAGTGACAGCAGAAAATTATCGAGTTGATTGAGGTCACTGGTATTGCTCTTGATAATCGGTGTTTATTAGCTCACCTCTCAATGACAAGGGAGGTCATGCTGTTAATCCCTGTGTAAGCATCAGTGTTGGTTTCTAAATGTTAAGTTTTTGGTGCAAGAGTTGACAGGCATCAAGAAAATTCTTCATAAATGTACTAGGGTACTGAGAGTTTGGTTTGAGAGTTGCTGTGGATATGAACTATTACTTTCTGGAGTCCGAATGAATACTTTTTTTGAAAAAAAAGTCTTCTTTTATTGTAAATATTTTGAATTTGGACTTTTCATGCCAAATCTAATAACATATGTTCCATAGTACAAGTGTTAAAATGCATCAGTAAACTCCTTTATAAGTGTGTAATGGTAATGATATTTGGTTTGAGGGTTGCTGTTAGGGTGTTGAAAGACAATAATTCATCCGGAGATATCAGTTTATTGGGATATAGACTCAAATAGATGAAACCATCCCCTTAATACAGTTTTAGGTTTAGTGATAAACAATATGAGACAAGCTTTTATACCATAGGTGGTAATCTGATCTTCTAAAGTGGAAAAAAAAAATAGCTGACATCCTTTTTCACAATGAGATCTTTTCCACCAGAATTTCTTACATAGTCTTTTCTAGTATAAAATTTTCCAAGTCTTGAGAGTCAGGGACAAATGACTACATTAAAAAATTATTCCAATTCAGACTTTCTTGGAACTTATTCATCAGACTTTTCACCAAAATTTACTCCGTGGCAATGAACTGATTAAGTTTCTTGTTTTGATATTTCAAGTATGAATATTGAGATGTGGATATCATTTGGTAACGTTGGAGCTTCCTACAAATATGTTACAAATCCATCATCAATCGTACCTACTCAAAGCTGTACATTTTCATGTGAACTACATGCAATGTGTTTGTGAAAGAAAAGGCAAAAATAATACACATTCTGGTAGAGTGCCCTGAACAGAAATCGAACCAAGTTCCCCAATGTGATAATGAACAGCTCTATTGAAAGAGTCAAAGAAGCATGCTCCATCAGCTGAGTGACAGAACATGTTAAGCACCATGTACAAGCCACAAGTTCACCAGCCAACTCCCCTTTTTTTTCTTGAGATATTTTTAATCTCAACTTGAGATTCCAAATACCACAACCCTTGGGATTTTGTTAGGCACCATTGTGTAAGAACAAGGAAAACACACATTTCTGTTGAGTGCCTCGGCCAGAAATTGAATCCAGGTCCCCAACATGATGGTTTACCAGCTCTACCAACAGAGAGTCAAAGAAATATGCTAAGTCAGCTGAGTGACAGACTTTAACACTTTGTACAAGCCACACCGACTTGTTCCCTTTACGTGCTTTGTATTCGTGAGTTGATAGTTATTTGGTTCCATGCAATGATAAATCAATAAGCACGTTATAATTTGTGGTTTTTAAAGTGGTTTTTGGAAGAAAGACAACATTTGATTTTATGGCTCTAACACCTTTTAAGTTTTCATCGCTGGTTGCCAAGTTGATCTTTCTATGATTGTCAGTTTAAAAAACAGTAAGAAAAGCTGGTGCGTTAAGGAAGAAGTATTATCTCAAAATATTAGGATTTTTGTGTACATGTACTGTGTGCTGTTAGTCCTTGTTCAGAAATGTGTGATGTTGAGTGTTGATACACATCTGTAAAGAACGCCTCATTGTATTGATTTGTTTGTGTTGGTAGTAAAATGTCTTCCCCACAGAACCAGTAATGTGTAATTATGTCAGTTGAGTGATTAAACACAGACTTGACATCTAGTGTGAGAAAGTATTCCATCAAGCTATATTAACCAAGATTTTTTGTCTCAGTTAGAATTTAAGGAAGCGTGGCTGCTTTATTGTTGGGTTTATTTAATCAATAACGTTTATGATGAATGACTGAGGAATAAGTCAGGTCTGTAATTCAAACAATCAGGAATAAAGTAAATCTACATGTACAAGTATTAGTTAGTAGGGCGTAAATGATCATATGTAAAGAAACAGTAATACACAGAGAAAACCCACATTGTTGGACAGGTAATCCTGTGCCTTTTTTACATTCAATTCAGGAATCAAAGTCGGGTGAAAGGTGAGGATGTTGTTCTCTGTGTTGAGGATGTTATTATCTGTGTTGTCCAACCAGCCAGAATGAGTCCATAGAATGCTGAGGATCAAAATAACACAGACTGAAGTTAACACATAATACTTTCCTCCATGACTTTATCAAGAGCTCTATAGAAGTGCCCTGTTGTAATTTATTTGTTTTTAAGAACTATCTTCAGCCATGCTATTGTCATCATGCTGTCAAGGAAGTGAACACAGCAATCAATTTGAAGTCCCCATGCAACAATACAATCACAGTGATTTTCTCATTGGTTATAGCTGTAACTTTACACTATCTAAGGGGAAAAAAGCACTATCATCTAAATTCCTTGTGTTTTGTAAACAGTCGTTTCATCACCATTACACGCGGCTAACAGAAGAACTGATTTCCCAAGTTGTCAATTTATGTTTTTACTGTATATCATGTAGCCCAAAATAAGCTGTGTTTCTTGGCAAGAACATGTTATTTTTATCAAATGAAGAAATCTGCTGTATGTGCCCAATTACTAGGAAAACAATATTTGTTAAAATCTTGATTTATACAACATAGACTGCTGATTAGGAGAGTAGCACTGGAAAATAGCAGTTTATTCATTGGTCACCTTGTGGTCACTTGAAATTCCTTGACCACCTACAGTTAACAGGGTTAGCTTTCCTGTGTCACATTCTCACCCATGTGGTGGCAAGCAGTATCAACCCTGCTGACCCCGCTGTGTTGAGGATACAGAATGGCAGGGAGGAATTTGACCGTACCAAACACCGCCATGTCATTGAGAATATGCACTGCTACATCTGTGATGCTGATGTGTAAGTATTCTTGGGGCTAAGTTTGTATAACTGAAATGCTGTAGGTAAATAAGGATATGAAACATTTGAAAGTCCTTTTAAATTCTGATGAATTTTGCAGTGCATGATTGGTTTGATGATATGTAGGTTATATTTCTATTTTGCAGGGGATCCCGGTCAAAACATTGCAGTGCCTGTAATAAGTGTGTGAATGATTTTGACCACCACTGTAAATGGCTCAACAACTGTGTGGGAGGCAGAAACTACAGGTATATCTCCAAAAGGCCAGGTGTACAAACCATGTCACGGTCTAGTTACCGTGGAGGAAGGGAGAGGGTAAAGCTTGAGGGGAGGGGATGGAATATGTGTCACTGTCCAAGGCAATAACTTTAGTAGAACATGCAGAGGATGGAGGGTGAGGGAAGAGCTTGAAGGATGGATGAAAAATGTGTCACTGTCCGATAACTGATATGATACATGTTGAAGGAGGGAGAGGGAAGAACTTGTAGGAGTAAAATATTTGTCCTGAAGAAATACTGTTGCTGTTGTGTAACTGTATTGTCCTATAGTTAATGTTTATTGTAGTATAACTTACAGCTTCTTGGTGGTTATTCAGTGATTGTTTCGGTTGTGTGTTTGGAAATATACCCAGGGGATATGGACATGATTTAATACATAGATTATGACAAATTTTTGTGTTTGTTTACAGGTGGTTTTTACAGGTACTCCTCACTGGTATCATTGGTATTTTCTTTATACTGGTGGTCACACTGGTAGAAATCATTGCCTACAGCACAGATGCTGAGACTGGAAACATTCTACAGCCATATATAGGTAGGCACTGTAACAACACCTCTTGTCTTCTTGGTTCAGGGCCAAAGTACCATCTTTAGTTATGACGTTGCCTTGCAGGTAGGGCACAAGAATAGTAACTGTATGCTGTACCCATGGTATGATCATAAATGATGACTAAATTAGGGATCTTATCTGGTCTCTTCTTCCTTAACAACTACCTTCTCTCTAATGTCTCTCTTGGCACTGCCTCACTTTTGACTTTTGAGTGTTCACCCCTGTGAGGAAGGCTAATAGCTCAGTCTTCTGCAGGAGACATACCAGAATCTTAACAATGGTAGTTACTGATGCCTATTTACAGTTCATTATTGTGGTACTGTAGAGTATAGTTGCTAGTTGTCGGTATAATGTGACTGGGTAGGATGTGTCTTTCCAGATGCCTTCAGCAGTATACTTTAGTATAGTAGCAATATAAAAATTTCAGTTCCACACTATCACAGGGAGGCTTAAATGGACATATTTCAACCTCTCAAAAAACACATTCTTCTTGCATACATTTGTACATACAAAGGCCACCATTACATGACCATAGATGTTAATAGGATGCTAAACCATGACGTAGAATTCAGCCATGTAGTTCTAGCCAATTACTGTGTCCCATTTCATATGTACCGATTATAATTAAGGGGAGGTTACTGTTGTAAAAATGTTTTTCTTAGGACCTCAGTGTTTTGTATGAATGCTTTGGTGTCATTTGGATGATTATTATGTAAATGATATTTCTTGTTTTGTTTCAGATGTGAAGAATAATGTAACAAGTGAACCAGGTAATTAGTACAGGGGTAAACATAAACATGTCTTAACTTTCAATGTCACATGTATATAATGTACATTGGCTTCTCTGTCATTCCATCACAGAGATATGATTGTAGCATCTATGAATTTACTGATGCCAACAAAGACATTGAATATTGTTTTTCTTCCAGCTAATTGTTTATAATTTTATTACAAAAACAAAATTTCATGTGAAATAAGAATGTTGAGAATTTTCACCTTTTCTGCATTCTTTATGCTCATTGGTAAAAGCATACTGAGATGACAACTTGTGTTTGTAGTGTTCTACATGGTATACCAGCCAGTATCTGATAGAGGATTTCTGGCAGTCCTTATCATCACCTTTTTCCTCCTCGTTGTTGGACTTGCTCTGCTGCTCCATCTCTTTGTGTTCCACTGCTACCTCAGTGAGTATAATATTCCACGGATACCTCAGTGTAATGTTTCACTGTCACTTCAGTGTAATGTTCCACGGTTACCTCATTATAATGCTGTACTGTTCCCTCAGTATAATGTTCCATTGTTACCTCAGTATAATGTTCCATTGTTACCTCAGTATAATGTTCCACTGTTCCCTCAGTATAATGTTCCATTGTTCCATCAGTATCATGTTCCATTGTTACCTCAGTATAATGTTCCACTGTTCCCTCAGTATAATGTTCCATTGTTCCATCAGTATCATGTTCCATTGTTACCTCAGTATAATGTTCCACTGTTACCTCAGGAAAATATTGTACTGTAACTTCAGTGTAATGTTTCACTGTCACTTCAGAATAATGTTCCACTGCTACCTCAGTATAATACTGTACTGTTCCCTCAGTAAAATGCTGTACTGTTCCCTCAGTATAATGTTGTACTGTTCCCTCAGTTTAATGCTGTACTGTTCCCTCAGTATAATGCTGTACTGTTCCCTCAATATAATGCTGTACTGTTCCCTCAATATAATGCTGTACTGTTCCCTCAGTATAATGTTCCACTGTTACCTCAATATAATGCTGTACTGTTCCCTCAATATAATGCTGTACTGTTCCCTCAGTATAATGGTGTACTGTTACCTCAGTATAATGTTGTACTGTTACCTCAGTATAATGCTGTACTGTTCCCTCAGTATAATGGTGTACTGTTACCTCAGTATAATGTTGTACTGTTACCTCAGTAAAGTGTTTCACTGTTACCTCACTATAATAGTATCATAACTTCTATGTCTGTGTTTCAGTGTACAACCATATAAGTACATATGACTACATAGTAAAACAAAGAGAGAATGATGACAGTAAAAAGAGAAGTGCAGACAAAGTCCAAAATAAAACAAAACGGGTAAGTTATCTCCCCTTTCTTGATTTGATATAACACTACTAAAATGTTCCATGGCTTATTCCGTATGGAGGATATAAAGAACTGCAAACAAAAATTTTCTTTAGTAGTGCTGTTAGATTATCTCATGTAAATCCATCTAGACCCTGTATTAACTAAGATTACTATAACTTAAAGTTAAAGAACAGATATCAAGGCTGCCTATAGGAAAGGTGTAGGGCAGGGGTCGGTGGGAAGTCTGTCAGCTACATTTCTGATACATTTCTTATACAATATTAATAATTGTAAATGTGGTTATTTCCAGGGGGGTTGATTTCAGTTAGCAACTTGTATGTGTGTAGGTTATTTATAATCTCTACCACACATTGCATGTGTTATTCAACTCATAAGTCATTTATCAATCATTGCAAGTGTTGTTTGACATAACTGATAAACCATGTGTGGTATAACACCTGACACTTCACAGAAATTCAAGTGAGGAATAAAATGGTTCTATAATGTTCTTGTTATCTAATTTTCATACACATTTCTACCATATAATAGACATGAAAATACTGTTTTTGTTAATTTCTTGTTAGAAGTTGAAATAAATTATAATATTTCTAAAAAAAATTCTGGAATTGTCATTTTTGAATATTAATAAGTGGCATTTTTTTTGTTATAAAAGTCAATAGTTCCCAAGTGTAAAATGTATTTTTTTCTCGTGGAAGAAACCGGTCAAAAGTGAGTGATTTTTTGTAACTTTTGAAAATAATTGACTCAAGTGAAATGAATACCAGAAACAACAACCACTGTTTGTGTAACCACTCTGTATATTTTGATATGTAATACATTACACATTCATGATCTGTTTGTGATCATGTATATTTCAGATAATCAAGGTTGTTCCCAGTATTGACCGAATATAAAAATAGTTTGATGTCGTGTATATTTCAGATAAACAAAGTTGTTCCGAGTAAACAAAGACAAAGTATAAGAATGATGAATTCATCACCCCAAACTAAGTTGTAAGTATTACGGTTCATATGACAGGCTTAAGTAGTGTCCCATTCCTTACTAATTACAAACTAATACAGAAATGTAATATGGAAATGTTCTGTAATTTATTTCATTTCCAGAATACTTCTCAGTAAAATCTTCTTTTTTTTTTAAATATCAATAGACATTTTTTTTTTACCTATGACAAGAGTCGAATGTGATTTTTCTCTACAATCTGTATATAATGCAGTGAATTTGTTTGAGAATGTAATCAAACTTATCATGAGTTTCATTACTTATAATGTGATAGAGCCCACCAGTCAAATAAATGTTACAGTCCAGACTGTATCACTATCCCACTGTTATAGTCCAGACTGTATCACTACCCTACTGTTATAGTCCAGACTGTATCACTACCCCACTGTTATAGTCCAGACTGTATCACTACCCCACTGTTATAGTCCAGACTGTATCACTACACCACTGTTATAGTCCAGACTGTATCACTACACCACTGTTATAGTCCAGACTGTATCACTACCCCACTGTTATAGTCCAGACTGTATCACTACCCTACTGTTATAGTCCAGACTGTATCACTACCCCACTGTTATAGTCCAGACTGTATCACTACCCCACTGTTATAGTCCAGACTGTATCACTACCCCACTGTTATAGTCCAGACTGTATCACTACCCCACTGTTATAGTCCAGACTGTATCACTACCCCACTGTTATAGTCCAGACTGTATCACTACACCAATGTTATAGTCCAGACTGTATCACTACCCCACTGTTATAGTCCAGACTGTATCACTACCCCACTGTTATAGTCCAGACTGTATCACTACCCCACTGTTATAGTCCAGACTGTATCACTACCCCACTGTTATAGTCCAGACTGTATCACTGTTATAGTCCAGACTGTATCACTACCCCACTGTTATAGTCCAGACTGTATCACTACCCCACTGTTATAGTCCAGACTGTATCACTACTCCACTGTTATAGTCCAGACTGTATCACTACCCCACTGTTATAGTCCAGACTGTATCACTACCCACTGTTATAGTCCAGACTGTATCACTACCCCACTGTTATAGTCCAGACTGTATCACTACCCCACTGTTATAGTCCAGACTGTATCACTACCCCACTGTTATAGTCCAGACTGTATCACTACCCCACTGTTATAGTCCAGACTGTATCACTACCCCACTGTTATAGTCCAGACTGTATCACTACCCCACTGTTATAGTCCAGACTGTATCACTACCCCACTGTTATAGTCCAGACTGTATCACTACCCCACTGTTATAGTCCAGACTGTATCACTACACCACTGTTATAGTCCAGACTGTATCACTACCCCACTGTTATAGTCCAGACTGTATCACTACCCCACTGTTATAGTCCAGACTGTATCACTACCCCACTGTTATAGTCCAGACTGTATCACTACCCCACTGTTATAGTCCAGACTGTATCACTACCCCACTGTTATAGTCCAGACTGTATCACTACCCCACTGTTATAGTCCAGACTGTATCACTACCCCACTGTTATAGTCCAGACTGTATCACTACACCACTGTTATAGTCCAGACTGTATCACTACCCCACTGTTATAGTCCAGACTGTATCACTACCCCACTGTTATAGTCCAGACTGTATCACTACCCCACTGTTATAGTCCAGACTGTATCACTACCCCACTGTTATAGTCCAGACTGTATCACTACCCCACTGTTATAGTCTAGACTGTATCACTACCCCACTGTTATAGTCCAGACTGTATCACTACCCCACTGGTACTGTCCAGACTGTATCACTACCCCACTGTTATAGTCCAGACTGTATCACTACCCCACTGTTATAGTCCAGACTGTATCACTACCCCACTGTTATAGTCCAGACTGTATCACTACCCCACTGTTATAGTCCAGACTGTATCACTACCCCACTGTTATAGTCCAGACTGTATCACTACCCCACTGTTATAGTCCAGACTGTATCACTACCCCACTGTTATAGTCCAGACTGTATCACTACACCACTGTTATAGTCCAGACTGTATCACTACCCCACTGTTATAGTCCAGACTGTATCACTACCCCACTGTTATAGTCCAGACTGTATCACTACCCCACTGTTATAGTCCAGACTGTATCACTACCCCACTGTTATAGTCCAGACTGTATCACTACCCTACTGTTATAGTCCAGACTGTATCACTACTCCACTGTTATAGTCCAGACTGTATCACTACCCACTGTTACTGTCCAGACTGTATCACTACTCCACTGTTATAGTCCAGACTGTATCACTACCCCACTGTTATAGTCCAGACTGTATCACTACCCCACTGTTATAGTCCAGACTGTATCACTACCCCACTGTTATAGTCCAGACTGTATCACTACTCCACTGTTATAGTCCAGACTGTATCACTACCCCACTGTTATAGTCCAGACTGTATCACTACCCCACTGACTGTATCACTACCCCACTGTTATAGTCCAGACTGTATCACTACCCCACTGTTATAGTCCAGACTGTATCACTACCCCACTGTTATAGTCCAGACTGTATCACTACACCAAAGTTATAGTCCAGACTGTATCACTACCCCACTGTTATAGTCCAGACTGTATCACTACCCCACTGTTATAGTCCAGACTGTATCACTACCCCACTGTTATAGTCCAGACTGTATCACTACCCCACTGTTATAGTCCAGACTGTATCACTACCCCACTGTTATAGTCCAGACTGTATCACTACCCCACTGTTATAGTCCAGACTGTATCACTACCCCACTGTTATAGTCCAGACTGTATCACTACCCCACTGTTATAGTCCAGACTGTATCACTACCCCACTGTTATAGTCCAGACTGTATCACTACCCCACTGTTATAGTCTAGACTGTATCACTACCCCACTGTTATAGTCCAGACTGTATCACTATACCACAGTTATAGTCCAGACTGTATCACTACCCCACTGTTATAGTCCAGACTGTATCACTACCCCACTGTTATAGTCCAGACTGTATCACTACCCCACTGTTATAGTCCAGACTGTATCACTACCCCACTGTTATAGTCCAGACTGTATCACTACCCCACTGTTATAGTCCAGACTGTATCACTACCCCACTGTTATAGTCCAGACTGTATCACTACCCCACTGTTATAGTCCAGACTGTATCACTACCCCACTGTTATAGTCCAGACTGTATCACTACCCTACTGTTATAGTCCAGACTGTATCACTACCCCACTGTTATAGTCCAGACTGTATCACTACACCACTGTTATAGTCCAGACTGTATCACTACCCCACTGGTACTGTCCAGACTGTATCACTACCCACTGTTATAGTCCAGACTGTATCACTACCCCACTGTTATAGTCCAGACTGTATCACTACCCCACTGTTATAGTCCAGACTGTATCACTACCCGACTGTTACTGTCCAGACTGTATCACTACCCCACTGTTATAGTCCAGACTGTATCACTACCCCACTGTTATAGTCCAGACTGTATCACTACCCCACTGTTATAGTCCAGACTGTATCACTACCCCACTGTTATAGTCCAGACTGTATCACTACCCCACTGTTATAGTCCAGACTGTATCACTACCCCACTGTTATAGTCCAGACTGTATCACTACCCCACTGTTATAGTCCAGACTGTATCACTACCCACTGTTATAGTCCAGACTGTATCACTACCCCACTGTTATAGTCCAGACTGTATCACTACCCCACTGTTATAGTCCAGACTGTATCACTACACCACTGTTATAGTCCAGACTGTATCACTACCCCACTGTTATAGTCCAGACTGTATCACTACCCCACTGTTATAGTCCAGACTGTATCACTACCCCACTGTTATAGTCCAGACTGTATCACTACCCCACTGTTATAGTCCAGACTGTATCACTACCCCACTGTTATAGTCCAGACTGTATCACTACCCCACTGTTATAGTCCAGACTGTATCACTACCCCACTGTTAATGTCCAGACTGTAACACTACCCCACGCATAAAGTCCAGACAGTATCACTACCCCACTGTTATAGTCCAGACTGTATCACTACCCCACTGTTATAGTCCAGACTGTATCACTACCCCACTGTTATAGTCCAGACTGTATCACTACCCCACTGTTATAGTCCAGACTGTATCACTACCCCACTGTTATAGTCCAGACTGTATCACTACCTCACTGTTATAGTCCAGACTGTATCACTACACCACTGTTATAGACCAGACTGTATCACTACCTCACTGTTATAGTCCAGACTGTATCACTACCTCACTGTTATAGTCCAGACTGTATCACTACCCCACTGTTATAGTCCAGACTGTATCACTACTCCACTGTTATAGTCCAGACTGTATCACTACCCCACTGTTATAGTCCAGACTGTATCACTACCCACTGTTATAGTCCAGACTGTATCACTACACCACTGTTATAGTCCAGACTGTATCACTACACCACTGTTATAGTCCAGACTGTATCACTACCCCACTGTTATAGTCCAGACTGTATCACTACACCACTGTTATAGTCCAGACTGTATCACTACCCCACTGTTATAGACCAGACTGTATCACTACCCCACTGTTATAGTCCAGACAACACTACTGTATATTTTCGTTTTATATCACTTATGCAGGAATGAGACCAAAGAAAAGAGTGATATCAGTTTATACCATCAGAAGTCAGAAGAGGAAGGTCGACGGACAGAGGGTGAGACCCCGCCTCCGTCTTCTAGCCCTATACACCATAAGGAAACAAACAACAATGTGAGTGTTGTAAGATTGAAACAATGTAATATATCCTAGAAATTCACTGAAGATCAACAGAAGCAGTATACTTTGGATGTGTTCCAGGGCTCTATTGTTAAGGTCATTATCGTGATCTAAATTAATTTGTCAATCAAATGATACTACTATGGATGAGAAAGACAATATTTGTTTCCTATAGATTATGTTTTCCAGATATAGTACAGGAAAACAACAGTCTGGTAACAGTGTTTGTTTTTGTTCACAGAAAGAAGGAAGGCTTCCAGAACTGAACAAACATTCAAGTGATGATATAACAGCTATTAAAAGGATGAAAAAGAAGAAAAAGATCAATTATAAAATGAATTCCAATTATGAAATATCTGAAACAGATATGATTTCTACTATAGGTAAGTTTTTTTATGTCAGAGCAACATTTTGATAATCTGAATTAACTGGTAAAACTACAACACCCAAAAACTCGGAGCTGTCAGAAATTATACAATTTTGGAAATTGGATTGAAAGAAGTCAATTTTTGTTTGATACCTTTCAGTTTTATCAATCAGAGTTACAGCGATCATTGAGGAAATTAATCTTGTGTCTCGAATTAAAAAGATTTGGGAGCAAATGATTAAAGATAGCAGTTGAAAATTTGTCTGATAAATGAAAATTAAAAATTTTTAATTGAAAAGATAAATTAAAACTAAAATTTTCAAATCTAAAGATATTCCAATAATGAAAATGACCACTTGCTATAATACTAGTCACCTTGTTGTTTCCCATAATTCTTGATGAGGGATCATATGGCTGTTTTCTGAAACATTTCCTGCTAAAATTGTATAGACATAAATAAGATTATGGTAATAGTGAGATTGTGGATAACACCAACGTGTGATGTGATAATTGCCTTCATGCTTGATTGTTCAGAGTTGCCCAAATGTCAGGTCTAAATTGTAAATCATGACACAGTGATGGAGAGTAAAGTGTTATTGTGTGTGTTACAGATAACCCATCCATGTACAAAACTCGGGGCTTCACTACCAGTCTGAATCTACCACTGACTTCTCCTGTGAAAATCACCCCACCCCCTCCACAACTGACCTCTGTCAATGGGGCAGGACCCCCAGCAGACTATCACTCCGACTCAGCGGAGAGCTTGACAGAGGTGGACCCCAACATTGCTGGCAGTGTTAACTCATCGCTAAGAAACTCTTTCCAGGTTCAACCTGGAGACAGTAATAGTGCCATTCAAGATTCAAGCGTAAGTCGTGGGAAGAACAGAAAAAGCAGTAAAAGGAGAAAGAAGAGGAAAAAGGAAGAGGATGGAAAAGAGCAAACAGAATTAAACTCAACTATGCTTTTCCAGATAAACTCCACAGCAAAACAGAACCCAGATGGAACACTAGACTACACTGATGGGTTCAAGAAACTGCCTTTGACCCCAATTCCACTAAGGAAGACTATGACTTCTGAGGAATTTAAAAGACCCAGTGCTGTCCCTCCTCTGGACCTGGGACCACTTAGGGGCAGTAGTGAAAGTGTGTCTTTTCAGCCAATGAGTTCTCTCAGGTCATCCGATACATACCGTACATCGCGTTTGCTTGGGAGTATGCCAGAACAACGACCCATTGTGGACACTGAAGTCTAGTCACTCCAAGGTGCAAAGAAAAGTAGAAAATTATTTTTAGGGTTTGAGAACTTGGTAGAGATTGAGTAGGCTAATCTGTCATTCACTATTTTCAGTCAGTGTTGTTTGTTTCAAAGCTCTAAAAGCACTCTTTATTTTCTGCCTCTCGCACAGCAATTCCTACTGTTTAGGGATAGTTTTGTATTAGCAATAAGTACTTGCACTAGTAATACACTATACTCAAAAGTAGCTTGTTACATCCATAAATGGTTAAGAATGCCAGAGGTCACCATTTTTCAATTGCCTTTGCTCATTATCAGAACTGGGACCTCTGACCCTAATCCAGTGCTTTACAGAAGGAGCTAAAGAGAAGTTTCCCTTAGCAGAATCGAGAAGAAACATTAAGTATTTTGCCTTGTTGACATAAATATGAACATTCCATAGTATGCAGATCTAGTATATAGGCTATTGCCAACATTGAAAATGTTGTTTCATCGAAAAGTTTTTTTTTACATTTAACAGCAATAAAATCCTACTTAGTATTGGAAAATTTGAAATTTCTAGGATGTCCAGTTTTTAATAGAATGTTAGATTTGTTTTCTTATTGTTTAATTTCAGATTTGATTATTTTGATCTGCTTTTCACAGGTAATAAATAATGTGTGACTGGAAATAGGTAAACTATTATAGTATTAGATACTCAGCATGGAGGACATGCCAATAATATTAGGCACTAGGTGAGGGGGACCTGTCCTTAATACTAGGTAACAGATTAGGGGGACCTGTCCTTAGTATTTGGGGTACCATATTTGGAGAACATGCCCTTGGTATTAGGTATTCGGAGTAGAGAACATGCCTCTGTTATTGGGTATTCAGTGTGGGAGACATGTCTTTAGTATTAGGTATTCAGTGTGAAGGACATGTCTCTAGTATTAAGTATTCGGTGTGGAGGACATGCCTCTAGTATTAGGTATTCGGTGTGGAGGACATGTCTCTAGTATTGGGTATTTGGAGTAGAGAACATGTCTCTAGTGTTAGGTATTCGGTGTGGAGGACATGCCCCTGGTATTAGGTATTTGGAGTAGAGAACATGCCCCTAGTATTGGGTATTCAGTGTGGAGGACATGCCCCTAGTATTAGGTATTTGAAGTAGAGAACATGCCCGTAGTATTGGGTATTCAGTGTGGAGGACATATCCCTAGTATTGAGTATTCGGAGAAGAGAACATGTCTCTAGTGTTAGGTATTCGGAGTAGAGAACAAGCCCCTAGTCTCTAGTATTAGTTACCAGGTTTGATGGGTATGACACTGTAACATTTATGTCATATCATACTGTCATTCTCTACAAACAAATTTCATTGATATTGATAAAGTTCTGTTGCTAAGTATAAGCAGAGAAGTATGAGCTAGAGAATCTAAGGCATTCCACAGACCTATACCATTCTGTGAATTAGTAACACCACCATTCAATGTATACCATTACTGGTGCTATATCTCAAAGACACCATTCGTTGTGAAACATTTGTCCTGGAGACACAGTTCATTAAACATATAAGACTCGCAGTTCACTGTCAGCACTCTCAGAGATGCAATTCATTGTGCAACTTAACAGTCTTCAAGACACTATTGTTTTTGCGACCTAATTGGTATCGTCTCATCAGATACACCATCAAAGTGGTGAAACTACGATATATTTGTTCTTTCATATTTCTTAATAATACAGTTTGTATTGATGTACTTGTTGAAATATTCTCAGCGAACATGTTAAGGTGTGTAAGAAAATGAAAAGTTGTGATAGTGTTTGATTTTTTCTGCTGATTACTGGTTAATTGAAGTGATTTTTGTGAGGTGTCTAGTGCTGCTAGCTATCAATGGGTGTCTGGTGCCACATCCGGTTCGTTGAAGTTACAAACATAGCCATTTTGTTATTTGTTATTGTTATACAATGTGTTAGTTGATTACATTTCATGCCCGACATTCAACATTCCTCATCATTACAAGGTTATGTAAAAAGATTAAAATAATGAATGTTTTACACTGGCATTCCAACAGTCTTTACTACACTTTGAAATAATGTTTATAACAAACAGTTGATAACAGAGGTCCTGTATCATTATTCCAAGCAAATATCAGGATGTTTCACTCCCCAGTGACTGGGACACATGATGTTGGCCTATATTTGTCTCCGTCACAGGGATATTACATGGTTGGCTATGTTCCCTATCACAGAGAAATTAAGAGGTTGGCCTGAATTTGTGACCTCTGTCACAAGGACACAAAGATAAGAGGCCTGTACTTGTGTTCCCTGTGAAAGGGATGTTAAGATATTGTATTTTTGTCCATCATGACTAGGACATTGAGAAATGTGACTGAGACATTAAAAGGTTTTCTTATACTTGTGTCTCATGTGACTGGGATATTAAGAAATTTGCCTGTAAAAGGGTCCATCGTAACTGTTGCAGTTGAATGTTATTGTGCAGTGATCCTGAATTGGTATAACATACAGAATCTGAATCCTAGATGATGAAACTGTTTATAAAAGTAAATTTTCAATTTACAACTATTTCTTGCTTCTCTGCCTTAAATATCTTACAGGAAACCAAATAGTATTGAAATGTTTTGTATGTTTTATCAATGTGCCAGCGGCACAGATAATGATTTCAATCCCAAGGGCTAAACGTGATGTCATCCCTGTGTACTAGGCTTGATGGTGTGTAATGGGCCTGATGGTGATGTGATCAGTGTTTTCTGGGCCTGATGGTGATGTGATCAGTGTTTTCTGGGCCTGATGGTGATGTGATCAATGTTTTCTGGGCCTGATGGTGATGTGATCAATGTTTTCTGGGCCTGATGGTGATGTGATCAGTGTTTTCTGGGCCTGATGGTGATGTGATCAATGTTTTCTGGGCCTGATGGTGATGTGATCAATGTTTTCTGTGCCTGATGGTGATGTGATCAGTGTTTTATGGGCCTGATGGTGATGTGATCAGTGTTTTCTGGGCCTGATGGTGATGTGATCAGTGTTTTCTGGGCCTGATGGTGATGTGATCAGTGTTTTCTGGGCCTGATGGTGATGTGATCAGTGTTTTCTGGGCCTGATGGTGATGTGATCAGTGTTTTCTGGGCCTGATGGTGATGTGATCAGTGTTTTCTGGGCCTGATGGTGATGTGATCAATGTTTTCTGGGCCTGATGGTGATGTGATTAGTGTTTTCTGGACCTGATGGTGATGTGATCAGTGTATACTGACTGTAATAAGTCTATCACTCATTAAAGGATTATTTTTTATCATCATCGATAGTGAATTTCTGTAACTAGTTGTATTTTTAATGGAATGATTTGGTACCTCAATGATTCATTCCCTCAGTTAACTGTATCTCTATGGTGACTTCAATCTGTTGTCTCCAACATATACGCAAAAGGCATGTGTGACGGGACTGCTGTCACCAACAAGTTTGGTCTGGACTGCTGGCCAGAAGGGTAACAGAGCATTTTATTGAATATTTCAATAGTATTACTTTGTATTACTTGTAAATTTTTAACATGCAATAGCACATGATTATTCAGTTGTGTTTATTAAATATTTGATTTTACAAAAGATGCCGTCCAATTATTGTGATATTTTGCAAAGCTCAATTACATGTTTCCTTAATTCAAGTATTTGTATTAAATTGAAATGATCTCTAGGTTTGAGGTATCTTTGTGTTTGTGATAGAATTTATATTTAATTGAAATGATTCCAATCCTTGCGTCATGTCTGTACTTCTTAGTTCAAGGTATCTTTGTGTTTGTAATATTATTTAGATTTAATTAAAATGATTCCAAACCTTATATATTTACATCATGTCTGTATACTTCATTTCTGTACCTCTTAGTTTGAGGTATTTTTATGCTTGTGATAGTATTTATATTTAATTATTGAATTAAGAATGATTCCAAACCTTACGTCATATCTATATCTTCAGTTTAGAGGTATCTTTGTATTTGTGATCGTATTTATATTAAATTGAGTGATTCCCCACCATTTGTCATGTCTCCATACCTGGTGTTTGTATCTCTAGGTTAGAGGTATTTCTATGTTTGTGATAGTATTTGTATTTGATTACAATGGTTCCAAACATTACATCATGTCTATATACGTCGTGTCTGTGTTCGTGATATTTATATTTAATTAGTCGTGTCAATGTTTGTGATAGTATTTTTTAATTTCAATGATTCCAAACCTTACTTCATGTCTATATACGTCGTGTCTGTGTTTGTGATAGTATTTATAACAATGATTCCAAACATAACATCTTGTCTATATACAGTGAAACCTGTCTTATCCGACACTGTACTGTATTCCCGTGAAATTGCATTATTTGTCAATGTATTAAAACACCGATATTTCCGGTCACTGTCAGTTCCGAATTCCGACACATATTTCTATGACGGCAGGCTATCTTTGTTAGTTAATTATACCTGGTAAATCCGACACGTAAGTCATCATCGCACCACAGATGTGTACACAACCGTTCCGCTTGACGTGGCGATAGTCGGTACATGCGGTGGGGTTACAAAGGGGGGATTATTGTACTGTACACATGTAAGTTTACCCTGCCATAGTGAGTATATGTCAGTTTTTTTTTTACACATACATGTATCTATAACAACTAAAAAGTCGAAGTAGAGTTATATTCTTGCAGTGTTTGATTTGATATTGTTGTCTACAGACGTTAAAATTTACCATGACATTTTCACCATCGTGTAAAAAAAGACTTTTAATGGATACAAGTAGTCCGTCACCAATGAGGCATCGGACTGATTTAACTTTGGAAAAAAAGATTCAGTTAATTGCAGACTCCGAGAAATTACCTGAAGTTTCTCAAAAGGAACTCAGTGTAAAATATGGTATCTGCCGTGCGACTATTAAAACCAAAAGATCAGTACAACAGTCAATTTCAAGAAATACATACATGTACATTATATTAAAATGAGTAAAACAAAATTAAAACATCAGTAAATTAATACTTCATTGTTTTGTTTTATTTTTAACACCATAGTGTATTTGTATGCACATTAGCTGTATGCTTAACGTATCTACCGGCCGTAGCATATATTTTTGTGTACAAAGTGAAGTCGACAACAATACCTGACTTTTCCGACACCCTGTCTAATCCAACCAAAAATGTCACTCCCCCATGGTGTCGGATTAGACAAGTTTCACTGTACGTCGTATCTGTGTTTGTGATAGCATATATATTTAATTACAAAATTCCATACACAACATCATGTCTATATACGTCATGTCTGTGTTTGTGATAGTATTTATATAACATTGATTCCAAACATAACATCATGTCTATTGGGTCGTGTCCATGTTTGTGATAGTATTTATAACAATGATTCCAAACATTTCATCACGTCTATATACGTTGTGTCTGTGTTTATGATAGTATTTTTATTTAATTAGTCGTGTCTGTGTTTGTGATAGTATTTATATTTAATTACAATGATTCCAAACATTACAGCATGTCTATATACGTCGTGTCTGTGTTTGTGATAGTATTTATATAACAATGATTCCAAACACAACATCACGTCTATATACGTCATGTCTGTGTTTGTGATAAGTATTTATATAACAATGATTCCAAACATAACACCACGTCTATATACATTGTGTCTGTGTTTGTGATAGTATTTATATAACAATGATTCCAAACACAACATCACGTCTATATACGTCGTGTCTGTGTTTGCAATAGTATTTATATAACAATGATTCCAAACACAACATCACGTCTATATACGTCGTGTCTGTGTTTGTGATAGTATTTATATAACAATGATTCCAAACACAACATCACGTCTATATACGTCGTGTCTGTGTTTGTGATAGTATTTATATAACAATGATTCCAAACATAACATCACGTCTATATATGTCGTGTCTGTGTTTGTGATGGTATTTATATAACAATGATTCCAAACATAACATCACGTCTATATATGTCATGTCTGTGTTTGTGATAGTATTTTTATTTAATTACAATGATTCCAAACCTTAGGTGGTGTCTATCTGTACAATGTATCTGTTAGAGGTATCTTTGTATAGTATTTACCAGTAAGGTTACCTGGTGTGAAGACTACTTCTACATAACTACAGGCAGAAAACCTCATCTTGTCGGGCAAGGATGCCCAAGCCTTTCACATCCAATCACAGAGTTCAACAGAAATCTTTGGAAGGACAGCGGAGTCTTATAGAAACCTTCAAACATATATTTAACAGTTATAAACAATTTTTTTATATTGGCTATGAGTTAATGTAATTTCATTTTTTGTTTTCCACCAAATTTACAAAGTTAATGTTCATTATCATGGCATGTCTGTATTTTCATGATTTTTTTTTTTTTTTATAAAATGTCTTCTGACTGAAAACTCTAACCAGTATAATCAGATAAAACAAAGTTTATAACTAACAAAATAGTATAAGGACCAGTTAATACAAGCCTTACCGACAAAGTGGTGTCTATTAGGCAGGTCTAACTTACCTTGACAGAATGATTACTGGGAACTTGTCTTACAGAACAACACATGTTTTACTTACATTCAGGTTGGTAATGTAAATAAAATGACCAACAGAAATAGATATTATAGATCTGATTCACCTTTTACAGTTGTATTTGTAATACAGACAATATTGGTTACATGTTATAAGTTGTATATCATTAATGTTGTCATTGATTGCATAATAGTATGGCGTTACTACCAACATTAAAGGGTGCTTTATCTGCATTCTCAATCAACTGTATTTGTTTAGGATTATTAATATTAACTGAATCGATGAACATTTTCTGTAAAATCCTAAGAAAGTATTTGTTTGTATTTGGTTTTGTGGCTATATCTTACTGTAAACATCGTAATATTTGTGAATTGTTATCTGTTTATCATTTTGTGGTTATACAAATTTGTGGATTAAGAGTATAAGCACAAAATCATCAGAAATAAAACCCACACCCAAATGAATGACTTTACAGTAACAAATATGCCACATTACAGATTTTAATGGTGCGAGAGATATTTTTATGTAAATAATCATAATTCAGTAGAATACCATTTGAGAAATATTGTAGTAAACAGATTGGTTTGATTTAACCAAGAAAACCATGTGAGAATTATGCTTTCAAGTTGTATGTATGAGTGAGAGTTGTTAACAACACTACCTAGTTATTGTTGAGGTTTTGTTGTTTATAACGACTGATGTTGCAGGTTTTAATGCTCCATGTACTTTATAGATGACCATTTCAAATACATCTACAAATGTAATCAAATATTTGATAGATATTAAAATCATGTTCCAATATTCTAATCTTTTCTCATTGTATCTCTGGTGCATCAACTCAGACACTTTGTGGTGAGGCAAAGAAATATGGGAGGTCAAAAAGCCTTAACAGTTCTATAAAAGCTGTTATTTTTGTTGTTGGAAAATGTCATAGAAATCATCTTGTTAAAAAGGTATGATAATTTGAACTACATTTCTCCTTTTCTCTTCTTTCCTGTTTTTCCTTTACACGGAATTTACTCTGTAAAAATAGCAATATTAATCTTTAACTGTCAAATCCAAGAGGTCACCTGTCAGCCATTTTGTTTTTCTGATATGTCCTAGGGAGTGAGGGTAACCTAAATATGAAATTTGAGAAAGATCACAATCCAATATGTCTCCAGAAAAAACCATATCAAGAATTAAAGTGGAAAGACACATGATGATTTGAATAGCCCACCATCTGATGACAGAGGGCTAAAAAAAAAAATACAAAAAATATCAACAATGGATGTTTATTAATGATTGCAATTGTAAAAGCTAAGGTATCACAATCCCTCGGTAAATCAGTATAAAAGCGTGTTGAGGATCACACATGCCCTTCATTCTTAAACATATATAAATATATATTGGAGACACAGACCCTTCATCAGAAAACATATATAAAAGTATATTTGAGGACACAAACCCTTCATCAGAAAAATTATATAAAAGTATATTTGGGAACACAAACCCTTTATCAGTAAACATATTTATGTATATAAGGGAACACACACACCCTTCATCAGTAAACATATATGAGGGAACACACACATCTATCATCAGTAAACATATATCAGGGAACACGCACATCCTTCATCAGTAAACATATATCAAGGAACACACTATTCCTCAGTTAATATATATAAAAACTTCAACAAATGTATATCATAAATATCCACTCAAAATACTCATCTTTTCTTTTCATACTGCATAGTTAGGCAACAATACAATTAATTCTATAAAACCTCCCAATGTCAGATCAAATGTGTACCACTCTATTCAAACCTAGCTCTAGTTTAAACAGCAAGAGGTCTATAGATCTAAACAGTCAACTGACTATCAATAAATGCATAATAGTGGCTTAATGGGCCTGAATTACCCACCTGTTCAACTGCTTACACAGAAAACTTTGTTGGTTCATAAAGTCAGCATCTGTGAACTTAAAATTCTATTCCTCAAGCAAGCATCCGATATTACCACAGAATACCCAGGGTAACCAACAGGCAGTATAACAGAGTACTCAGAGTAACCAACAACAGTTACCACAGATTTCTATGTGCAACCAACCAGTATTACCACAGAGTACTCTAAGAAACCAACCATAATTACCAGAGCACTCAGGGTTACCAACCAGTATTACCAGAGTACCCTGGGTAACCAACCAGCATTAACACCTAATATTCTGAGTAACTAACCAATTATACCATGGAATACTTATTGTAACCTACCAATATTACCTATGTACTCTGATTAAACAACCATATGATATGTATATTTCATATACAGTAAAACCCCACTTACTCGAACCTGCATTCCTTGAATACCCCATATTTGTTGAACTGCCTGCTCGGACCCTACCGTTTCCTTATATATTCTATGTTATAAAATCCCGGATTCCTCGAACCGCTATTCGTTGAATACCCCCTTTTCATCTAACTCATATTTATCCCCGTTCCCTAATATTACCATAGTATATTCCCATGTTTTCGTCGAACATGTAATCCATCTGTGTCACACTTGACTGCGTTAACGTGAGCTGATTGGCACTGATCACTGCCATGTGTTTACACAGGTGTGTGACATGACAGCAGCCAATTAAGGGATTAAAGACAGGTTTACCTACTTCTGCTGATACTTCACACCTTATGCAGTAATTTTATCATTACCTTTCTAGTACACACGTGGTTTAGCATGACTTAAAAAACTGAATAATATTGCAACATTATACCGGAAGTTTTATTTCAGTAAAACCAAATTACGAAATGACACACTAATAACAGAACAATTTTCTACTGATGTATCATTGAAACGACTTTTTCCCCAAGGGGCATTTATACACTTTTAAACAATGAGTTTGTGTTCGCATTTTTCTATGATTAGATTCACATATCTTTGTGTCCGTAATTAGGCCTATCTAAACAAACAGTACTTATAGAAAAATAGTCACTGAAGCCGACACGCCGCTACTCTCTGTGATATTAGTGATAACAAGCATTAATTAAAAATCAGAGTGGGTATTTGCGAGATCAAAGACTTAACTTCAATTAATATAATGCAAATGTTTTTAAATTGATAATTAGCATTTTAATAAGAGTAACTCGGGGTCATTATCTGAACAAGCCTAATTATGAGTAGCTCAGTGTCAAAATGTTGAGGAGATCGCTAGAGAATTAAAGGATAACGCTACCATGACAAATCATTCACAACCTCTCTCACAATGATTTCTAACTTTAATGGTAGAGCTGAGCAATCCAGTGTTGAAGGGCCCAGTGATACTGGGAGGGCAGCTGGATCAGCTTCTCCAAAGTTAAGGGTGAAGAGGAAAGTAAGTGACGAGACTCCGTCAGTATTCAATCAGAGACTTCTTACAGTAGTTCTGGGTATTGATTCTGAAATGTGTGAGATGTTTCTCCTCTATAAGACTTCAATCAAGTGTAATTGTTCGTTAACGGATTGATGACTACTTACTATGACCAGAGACATACCATCGCGGTACAGACTATATCTCACACACGATCTACATTTTGACCAACCTCTGATTACCCTGTATTCCTCGAACTATTGACACAGGCCCGAGGAGTTCGACTTAGCTGGGTTTTACTGTACATCAAAATTTTGAAGATGAGCCAGATCTGCTATTCCACTACCTTTTATACGCTGACTGAATAAGTCCCATTACCAATATGTTACAAGAGAACAAGATTCAGGAAATCCTTCAAATTTTACTTTTAAACATATAACAATGTCCAGCAGTGTTCCTCAATGTCACAACTCTAGGTTTACAAACTATATCAGCCTGTTTAATGATTAAAACAGCTTGGTTGGGACAGTAAAGCTGCTCATGATTGTCAAATAAATTAATGTGTACATTATTTGGCCACTACATACCTGTCAACAGGAAATGTCACAAGTTATTTATATACAGTACATACCGTCTGACTGTCATACAACTATAATATAACATACAGACATGAACTCATACAAATTGTTGTTTTTGTCTGAGACAGTTAAGGTCAGATATAAAATTTCTAACATCTATGAATGCCAGTCTACTTCATTCTCACTAGTCACCTTTGATCCTTTTGTATCCATGGTAAATTTTGACTCCTTGACAGTCACTTCAAATCCTCTGTATCCATGGTAACTGTAACCATATGCATCGACATTTAAATGTAGTCCTTTGTACCTATGGTAACTGTCACCTTATTCCAGGAAAGCTACCCAAGTCCCTCTGTATCCTTGGTAACTGTCACCTTACTCCAGGAAAGCTACCCAAAGTCCCTCTGTATCCTTGGTAACTGTCACCTTACTCCAGGAAAGCTACCCAAAATCCCTCTGTATCCTTGCTAACTGTCACCTTACTCCAGGAAAGCTACCCAAAGTCCCTTTGTATCCTTGGTAACTGTCACCTTACTCCATATGACAGTAACATTAAGTCCCCTTGTATCCATCTTTATCAACTCCACACATGCAGTCACCTGGAATTTCAGTATCCGTTGCAACTGTCACCTTGAGTCCCTTTGTATCCACAGTAAATAATGTCTTACTCCATGACAGTCACTTCTACTCTCTCTCTATCCACAGTAACCGGCCTTATTCTTGACAATCACCTGAATTTTCTATGTATCGATGGTAACTGTCACCGTAAGTCCCTCTGTATCCACAGTAAGCGGCCTTATTCCTTCACAGTCACCTGAAGTCTCTTTGTATCCATGGTAACTGTGATCTTAAGTCTCTTTATATTCACAGTAACTGGCCCTATTCCTTCACAGTCACCTGAAGTCTTTTTGTATCCATGGAAACTGTGATCTTAAGTCCCTCTGTATTCACAGTAACTGGCCCTATTCCTTCACAGTCACCTGAAATATTGTATCCACTGTCACTTTTAGCTTACTCCTCAACAGTCACCTGAAGTCCCTCTGTATCCACAGTGGCATCATAGATGACGGAACCTTCAGCTCCCTGTTAAATAATTAAGAAAGTGTTGGATCACCATTGTTTTAAATGAGATGCCATTTCTTGATTTGATGAAGCATAATGAACACAACAGCACCAATCAAATTCAAATCCTTATAACAATTTTTCATACCATCTCAGTGGCTAGTCAGAGCCATACTGGACACAAGATTCCACTACCACACACATGTATTGTAGACACAAGATTCCACTGACACACACATGTATATGTGGAACACACAGTCTGGACACAAGATTCCACTGACACACACATGTATAAGTGGAACACGCAGTCTGGACACAAGATTCAACTGAAACACACATGTATAAGTGGAACACGCAGTCTGGACACAAGATTCTACTACCACACACATGTATAAGTGGAACACGCAGTCTGGACACAAGATTCTACTACCACACACATGTATAAGTGGAACACGCAGTCTGGACACAAGAATCCACTGACACACACATGTAGTGTAGACACAAGAATCCACTGACACACACATGTATATGGGGAACACACAGTCTGGACACAAGATTCTACTTATACACACATGTACATGTGGAACACACAGTGTAGACACAAGAATCCACTGACACACACATGTAGTGTAGACACAAGAATCCACTGACACACACATGTATAAGTGGAACACACAGTCTGGACACAAGATTCTACTTATACACACATGTACATGTGGAACACACAGTGTAGACACAAGAATCCACTGACACACACATGTAGTGTAGACACAAGAATCCACTGACACACACATGTATATGGGGAACACACAGTCTGGACACAAGATTTCAATGACACACACATGTATATGGGGAACACGCAGTCTGGACACAAGAATCCACTGACACACACATGTATATGGGGAACACGCAGTCTGGACACAAGAATCCACTGACACACACATGTATATGGGGAACACACAGATTGGACACAAGAATCCACTGACACACACATGTATATGGGGAACACACAGATTGGACACAAGATTCCACTGACACACACATGTATATGGGGAACACACAGATTGGACACAAGAATCCACTGACACACACATGTATATGGGGAACACACAGTTTGGACACAAGAATCCACTGACACACACATGTATATGGGGAACACACAGATTGGACACAAGATTCCACTGACACACACATGTATATGGGGAACACACAGATTGGACACAAGAATCCACTGACACACACATGTATATGGGGAACACACAGATTGGACACAAGAATCCACTGACACACACATGTATATGGGGAACACACAGTTTGGACACAAGAATACACTGACACACACGTGTATATGGGTAACACACAGTCTGGACACAAGAATCCACTGATACACACATGTATATGGGGAACACACAGATTGGACACAAGAATCCACTGACACACACATGTATATGTGGAACACACAGATTGGACACAAGAATCCACTGACTCATTCATTTATAGGTCGGACACAGACTGGACAATAAAAACATACTGTATATTGGAAATGTCTCTCCAATTGTGACCTACATTACATGCATGAATTTTTTGATATGTTTAGGAATGTTTTTCACCAAAACACAACACATACAAGTAAAACAACATGCATGTTAGGTCTCAGTTCTCAATGATAGGAACAATGGAAAATAACATTATATTTAACAATCTTCATAAAAATCAGCAAATTTTATTCTAACATCCAATTGAGATACAGATTATTATCTTTACAACAAAATATCAGACCAAATTACATTATTGGAGAATACTGTTGAATGTAAATTAATGAAGCTTAAAACATTAGAAATGATTCAATGGGCAAGTAACTCTACCTTATTTCACAGCCAATTCAGAACAATTCAGAAATTCTAATTTGAAATATACCAGAAGATGGCAATCAGTGTATCAGATACAGTAACTGTTAAAACTTACCGATTTCCTACATATTAGTGTTGGGAGTAGTAGTGGGATGCTTAACATGCATAGGATTTAAACAAAAAAGGGATTTCTAAACTGAACATACATAGATCATTCAAATTTACCTCAACTTGCTCAAAGATCTGTACAGTGAGAAAAGTAGGTATTTAAGAGAGAGAAGCTTTTTTAAGCTGACAATAATCAAGCCAAACTGACATGATTTCAGTTGGTCATAAACACTTAAAATGAATATGTAGTAAATCTTTGTAAAACGCATAAACAACAAAAACATTGGATTTTAACAAAAATGTTACACTAGTGTTACAATGAAGTCCAAGAACTATTGATTAATTAAGTCATAAGTGATTCATTTACCTTGGCATGACTGAGAACATCCTTGATTACCTCCCTTTGCATATTGTCCTTGGCAATGGCATACATAAAGCCGCCCCCTCCAGCCCCAGCCATACACATGCCATATACATGTGGTTGAAGCACATTCATAAGGGAGGCAATTACTTCAGTTTCACAGCCTGGGGCCATCAATTTCTTCAGTTCCCAATACCTATTGAGACAACTTCCCAACTTCTCAAAATCAGTAGGGCCTACAAAATGTAACAAATCAATAGTAGGGCCTACAAAGTGTAACAAATCAATAGTAGGGCCTACAAAGTGTAACAAATCAATAGTAGGGCCTGCAAAATGTAACAAATCAATAGTAGGGCCTGCAAAATGTAACAAATCAATAGTAGGGCCTACAAAATGTAACAAATCAATAGTAGGGCCTACAAAGTGTAACAAATCAATAGTAGGGCCTGCAAAATGAAACAAATCAATAGTAGGGCCTACAAAATGTAACAAATCAATAGTAGGGCCTACAAAATATAACAAATCAAATTGTCTTCAACATAAAATTACCAATCTATGTAACACACTCAATCCTATGAAGATATGAAACTTACTGTCAATAAACACATTAGCACACTCCTGCGCCAGCTTTACAAGGTTATCCTCTGTCTCTACAATCTGTGGGTTTCTAGCATACCAGTTCCTTACTACATCCTGTGTATAGGAAAACATAGATTAGAAATCAACAGGTCTATATCACCAACACAAGGCGTTATATCCAGGAAGGAAATACTGCTTAATAAATATTACTAGTCAACCTTATATAACAATGGATCAAAGTTCTGTTAACACAACATACTCTATTTTCTGTTCTTTTTCCATATGGTTGACCAATATTTTGTGCTTTTTATGTTAACCATGTCTGTCAGTTAATAAACATAATTCATATTCCACACAGGAATCTGACATCACCACATGATTGATCTGCCTTTCCTGTTTATCTTAGTTTATCTGTTTTTGGATTACAATAAACATTCTCATAATACAATAACTTTGCCTTTTGTTTTGGATTTTGATTGTCATATTCAAAGACTATCTCATGTAAATGTAACAGAAGGCCAAATGGGACTGAACTGTTCGAGTTTTAATCATTACATTTGGTAATCTCCTGTCTTTGATCTTCAGAGTAAGTCCAGGTCATTTATACTTTTGCAAAGTCGATGACAAATAAACAAACAGTAAAGATTTTTTATATTAAACACCGCCCAACTCAAAACCAACTGATACCTCTTTAGTAAGAAAATATAAATACATAAACATAAAAAAAAACAAAACCACTGACAATCACACCAGCATTGCCATTTATCCTGATTCCAGATCTCTTGGTCACTTAAAAGTCAAATAAAGATTTCAACATTGCTGAAGATTGTTTCATAACCCTGATTATGAATATATCAATATGAGAAATAAACAATCCTTTACATAAGGTGATAAAATTACAGATCAATTCTCGTGACACACAGCACACTGACTAATGTGTTGAGGTATAGGTCCTGATGAATGCATTGAAAGTAAGACCTGAAGGAGATTCCTGGCGAGGCGAGTCTTGCCAGTGTAGATGAGGATGATACGATCACTGATGGCCTTGATGACATCTTCTGAAGGTTTCAGATCTATAGAGTCTACACTGATGGGAAGTTTGGCGTCAGAAAGTCCGATACGGATACCTCCCATGATGCCTCCGACTTGGTCCTGCCAGCCCCCGCCTGTTGTTAGCAGCTGCTCCAGGTACAATACCTACAGGTAAGTTAAAACAGTTACACAATTGTATACAGGTAAGTCATTAGATATATCAGGGGATCTGAAAGGGACGTTAGCTCCTGATCTTGTATGATACTGGTACAATGCAAGTTTGATCTTTCTTTTCTGATCTTGTGTGGTACTGGTACAATGCAAGTTTGATCTTTCTTTTCTGATCTTGTGTGGTACTGGTACAATGCAAGTTTGATCTTTCTTTTCTGATCTTGTGTGGTACTGGTACAATGCAAGTTTGATCTTTCTTTTCTGATCTTGTGTGGTACTGGTACAATGCAAGTTTGATCTTTCTTTTCTGATCTTGTGTGGTATTGGTACAATGCAAGTTTGATCTTCCTTTTCTGTCCTTGTATGGTACTGGTACAATGCAAGTTTGATCTTTCTTTTCTGATCTTGTGTGGTACTGGTACAATGCAAGTTTGATCTTTCTTTTCTGATCTTGTGTGGTACTGGTACAATGCAAGTTTGATCTTTCTTTTCTGTCCTTGTATGGTTCTGGTACAATGCAAGTTTGATCTTTCTTTTCTGATCTTGTGTGGTACTGGTACAATCCAAGTTTGATCTTTCTTTCTGTTATTTGTTCTATGATATTTGTTTACTTATTGACGGAGGATCATTAATGGATCATGTGATAGCATTGTCCAACAAGGCCAACCTGTATCAATCCTGAACCATGCTGACATGCACCAGTGTGAGCCCATTTATTGATGGCCAAAGTAAAGTTTGTAGGTTACTCTACACACTCAACAGAAGATCAGAAAGACTACTTACAGCATGTACTAGTCCCTTTCTGTCACATGACTTCCCAGAAGCCCGCAGTAAAGCAGCCATGACAGCCCCTGCAAGGATACTGCTGGTCCCCATACCTGTAAAATTGTCAAAGCAGAATTCTCTTGTAAAGCTGGACACAATTCCCATACTACTGGACTCTTCAGCTTCATTGTGATCAACATTACCAAAATGTTTAGTAAAGTTGAATAGAAACAATAAAAATTATATTTTTACTGGGCTCTTCAGCTCTATTTTGATAAACGTTAGATCAGTTATAAATATTTCATTGTAAGGTAATTCATAATAAGTGTCCATTTTAGGAAATTATTTAATGAGACAACAAGTGGCTACACATTTGCACTGAAAAGTGTCATCTGCTGTTTAACAATGATAAATGAATATTCTATGATTGAAGACTGATATTTTTCCAGTATTTAGTGAAAGATACATACAACAAAGTTTAGTACATCCAACGCACACAACCTGAGATGTAACATCGTGTTATCAATACACCTGAATGCTACCTCAATTATAATAAAAAATGTCCTAGATGACCCTGTGGTTTTGAACATATTTATTGATGGCACTAGCATATCTCCCTGTACCCTCTGTAGCTCAGTGTTAGCAGTGTGTGACTTCTAAGCCTGTTCGGGTATGACAGCTCTCTGAACCCGAGTAATTGTTTGGATGCTCTTCTTTGAAATCATTTCAACATGTTTTATTTCATGTGGTTGCCTATACATTCACATATTTCAAGTGGACCAATATAAGAGACTTATAAAGCAACACAAATGTTTTATCTTTCAAATATGGAAAAGTTCTATGGATAAATACAACATCAAATTTATCTTTAACCAATATTTCGATTATCTATAGTATATATATAGTATAGTATTATCTATGTTGTATCATCTACAGGCACCTGAAGAACTTTTTCACTTGATACATCTTCTATAGCTTCTTCTTTGAGAAGAAAGTAAGTATGACTTTCTATTGTCTGACCCATATGCATGGATTTGCACTTTCCCGCATGAAATAGCAAGAGCCACTTGTCGCTCCATTTAAAGAGCCTGTCTATATCCAATTATAGTGCATTCACATCTTCAGGTCCCCATTTCACTTTGAATTTAAACAATTTGATGTCATGGGCAAAAAGGTACACATTAGAATTTATATTATCTGGCAGACAGTTTGTATAGAATACAAACAAAATAGGACATAATACTGATCCCTGAAGTACACCTGAAGTCAGTGGCTTCCAGCTTGATTGCTCACCTTTGAGACAGACTATCTGTTTTCTATCCAAAATGAAATAAGATAGTTGTAGTTGATAATTGCTTCCCTTGAATTAGAGGATTTCATTTCTTTTATCAACCTTTTATGGGGAACAGTATCCAAAGCCTTTTGGAAACCAATACACATGCAGTGAATAGGTAAGAAGATAGTTTTTCTGGTATTATGGGAAACATGTGTCCAACAAAGTATCCTCTAATTGACAAAACTGAAATAAATACCTGAGCCCTGTGGAAGGTTGGACCAGGTGTGAATTTCAAATCCACCGCCATAGTTGCGCTGTAGCTGTTCCTTCAGTGACAAATCCGAGTCTAGGTTGATGATGTCAGCACATACAATGGCAGCCTTTAGGAGAGCACCTGTAGAACAAGAATAATCTTTATACATTCCTTCAGAGAACAGCTGTACAACATACCTTCAGGAGAACAGCTGTACAACATACCTTCAGGAGAACAGCTGTACAACATACCTTCAGAGAACAGCTGTACAACATACCTTCAGAGAACAGCTGTACAACATACCTTCAGAGAACAGCTGTACAACATAACAGCTGTACAACATACCTTCAGAGAACAGCTGTACAACATACCTTCAGAGAACAGCTGTACAACATACCTTCAGAGAACAGCTGTACAACATACCTTCAGAGAACAGCTGTACAACATACCTTCAGAGAACAGCTGTACAACATACCTTCAGGAGAACAGCTGTACAACATACCTTCAGAGAACAGCTGTACAACATACCTTCAGAGAACAGCTGTACAACATACCTTCAGAGAACAGCTGTACAACATACCTTCAGAGAACAGCTGTACAACATACCTTCAGAGAACAGCTGTACAACATACCTTCAGGAACAGCTGTAACATACCTTCAGCTGTACAACATACCTTCAGGAGAACAGCTGTACAACATACCTTCAGGAGAACAGCTGTACAACATACCTTCAGAGAACAGCTGTACAACATACCTTCAGAGAACAGCTGTACAACATACCTTCAGAGAACAGCTGTACAACATACCTTCAGAGAACAGCTGTACAACATACCTTCAGAGAACAGCTGTACAACATACCTTCAGGAGAACAGCTGTACAACATACCTTCAGAGAGAACAGCTGTACAACATACCTTCAGAACAGCTGTAAGCTGTACAACATACCTTCAGCTGTACAACATACCTTCAGAGAACAGCTGTACAACATACCTTCAGAGAACAGCTGTACAACATACCTTCAGAGAACAGCTGTACAACATACCTTCAGAGAACAGCTGTACAACATACCTTCAGAGAACAGCTGTACAACATACCTTCAGGAGAACAGCTGTACAACATACCTTCAGGAGAACAGCTGTACAACATACCTTCAGAGAACAGCTGTACAACATACCTACAGGAGAACAGCTGTACAACATACCTTCAGAGAACAGCTGTACAACATACCTTCAGAGAACAGCTGTACAACATACCTTCAGAGAACAGCTGTACAACATACCTTCAGAGAACAGCTGTACAACATACCTTCAGAGAACAGCTGTACAACATACCTTCAGAGAACAGCTGTACAACAGAACAGCTGTACAACATACCTTCAGAGAACAGCTGTACAACATACCTTCAGAGAACAGCTGTACAACATACCTTCAGAGAACAGCTGTACAACATACCTTCAGAGAACAGCTGTACAACATACCTTCAGAGAACAGCTGTACAACATACCTTCAGGAGAACACCTGTACAACACACCTTTAGAGAACAGCTGTACAACATACCTTCAGAGAACAGCTGTACAACATACCTTCAGAGAACAGCTGTACAACATACCTTCAGAGAACAGCTGTACAACATACCTTCAGAGAACAGCTGTACAACATACCTACAGAGAACAGCTGTACAACATACCTTCAGAGAACAGCTGTACAACATACCTTCAGAGAACAGCTGTACAACATTCCTTCAGAGAACAGCTGTACAACATACCTTCAGAGAACAGCTGTACAACATACCTTCAGAGAACAGCTGTACAACATACCTTCAGAGAACAGCTGTACAACATACCTTCAGAGAACAGCTGTACAACATACCTTCAGAGAACAGCTGTACAACATACCTTCAGAGAACAGCTGTACAACATACCTTCAGAGAACAGCTGTACAACATACCTTCAGAGAACAGCTGTACAACATACCTTCAGAGAACAGCTGTACAAGCTGTACAACATACCTTCAGAGAACAGCTGTACAACATACCTTCAGAGAACAGCTGAGAACAGCAGCTGTACAACATACCTTCAGAGAACAGCTGTACAACATACCTTCAGAGAACAGAACAGCTGTACAACATACCTTCAGAGAACAGCTGTACAACATACCTTCAGAGAACAGCTGTACAACATACCTTCAGGAGAACAGCTGTACAACATACCTTCAGGAGAACAGCTGTACAACATACCTTCAGAGAACAGCTGTACAACATACCTTCAGGAGAACAGCTGTACAACATACCTTCAGGAGAACAGCTGTACAACATACCTTCAGGAGAACAGCTGTACAACATACCTTCAGGAGAACAGCTGTACAACATACCTTCAGGAGAACAGCTGTACAACATACCTTCAGGAGAACAGCTGTACAACATACCTTCAGAGAACAGCTGTACAACATACCTTCAGAGAACAGCTGTACAACATACCTTCAGAGAACAGCTGTACAACATACCTTCAGGAGAACAGCTGTACAACATACCTTCAGGAGAACAGCTGTACAACATACCTTCAGAGAACAGCTGTACAACATACCTTCAGAGAACAGCTGTACAACATACCTTCAGAGAACAGCTGTACAACATACCTTCAGAGAACAGCTGTACAACATACCTTCAGAGAACAGCTGTACAACATACCTTCAGAGAACAGCTGTACAACATACCTTCAGAGAACAGCTGTACAACATACCTTCAGAGAACAGCTGTACAACATACCTTCAGAGAGAACAGCTGTACAACATACCTTCAGAGAACAGCTGTACAACATACCTTCAGAGAACAGCTGTACAACATACCTTCAGAGAACAGCTGTACAACATACCTTCAGGAGAACAGCTGTACAACATACCTTCAGGAGAACAGCTGTACAACATACCTTCAGGAGAACAGCTGTACAACATACCTTCAGAGAACAGCTGTACAACATACCTTCAGAGAACAGCTGTACAACATACCTTCAGGAGAACAGCTGTACAACATACCTTCAGGAGAACAGCTGTACAACATACCTTCAGAGAACAGCTGTACAACATACCTTCAGGAGAACAGCTGTACAACATACCTTCAGAGAACAGCTGTACAACATACCTTCAGGAGAACAGCTGTACAACATACCTTCAGAGAACAGCTGTACAACAAGAATTTATCATCACACATTCCTCCAGGAGAACACTTGTAAGCAAGAAATTTAATACATGTTGTACACTTACCTGGACTGTGAGGTTGATAATAGTTTTCCAGGTGAGACAACTCCTCGCACATGACGTTTGTGTCCTCCTGGTTGTATCCGTACAAAACCATCACAATCTTCGGCCTGTCATCATAAAAAAAACATTCTATTTAAATGTAAACAATACAGAGACAATTATTTAAAGTTAAAAATTTCTTTCTTGACACTACAAATGTTGATTAGGAATTGTTCTATATTAATATTGTAATACCTCATTACACAAGGACACTGTTAAATATTGTTGTATAGTAATACTGAAATGCCTCATTACATAACATATTTTCTGACATTGTTGTATGACAATATTGAAACACCTCATTACACAAAGACATTATTGGATATTGTTGTATGGTGATATTGAAATAAACTTGAGACACTGAATAATATCAGGGCCAAATTTCCTCGGTATAGTGATTGTAAGAATGATTTTTCAAATATTTATAAATTCCCCTGCATATGTGAGATTTCATTTTTGTAAGAACTATGATGCATTAAGAAACTGATCTTGGTTGAAAGTAGACATAAAAGCTTAACACACACCCTACCAAGATTAGTTCCCACAAAACAAAATGAAACAAGAACTAAGGACAAACTGATGCCCGCCCACTTTACATCCCTAGACATGTACCATTCCCTTGTAATGCCATATCTCCTTACTAGGTAATATAAAAGAAGATGGCGGACAATGTGCGACACACAATGATGAAACACAATGGCTTTAGGTCACTCTGACCCTTCTGATATGATGACCTAATAAACACAATGGCTTTAGGTCACTCTGACCCTTCTGATATGATGACCTAATAAACACAATGGCTTTAGGTCACTCTGACCCTTCTGATATGATGACCTAATAAACACAATGGCTTTAGGTCACTCTGACCCTTCTGATATGATGACCTAATAAACACAATGGCTTTAGGTCACTCTGACCCTTCTGATATGATGACCTAATAAACACTATGGCTTTAGGTCACTCTGACCCTTCTGATATGATGACCTAATAAACAATGGCTTTAGGTCACTCTGACCCTTCTGATATGATGACCTAATAAACACAATGGCTTTAGGTCACTTTGACCCTTCTGATATGATGACCTAATAAACACAATGGCTTTAGGTCACTCTGACCCTTCTGATATGATGACCTAATAAACACAATGGCTTTAGGTCACTCTGACCCTTCTGATATGATGACCTAATAAACACAATGGCTTTAGGTCACTCTGACCCTTCTGATATGATGACCTAATAAACACAATGGCTTTAGGTCACTCTGACCCTTCTGATATGATGACCTAATAAACACAATGGCTTTAGGTCACTTTGACCCTTCTGATATGATGACCTAATAAACACAATGGCTTTAGGTCACTCTGACCCTTCTGATATGATGACCTAATAAACACAATGGCTTTAGGTCACTCTGACCCTTCTGATATGATGACCTAATAAACACTAACATTTTCACCAGGTTAATTCATGTTAAAAAAATATGCTTCCTAATACTTACTCTCGTATTCGCCTCACTTTAGATCCTACCGGCCTCTGTAATAAATCACATATGTCTGATTTAATAGATTTTTATAACATGAATTCTGACATTTTATACCCATAAATAGAACATAACAAAACTTACACATAAACAGAACAGAACAATACTTACACATAAATACAACAGAACAATACTTACACATAAATACAACAGAACAATACTTACACATAAATACAACAGAACAATACTTACACATAAATACAACAGAACAATACTTACACATAAACAGAACAGAACAATACTTACACATAAATACAACAGAACAATACTTACACATAAACAGAACAGAACAATACTTACACATAAATACAACAGAACAATACTTACACATAAATACAACAGAACAATACTTACACATAAATACAACAGAACAATACTTACACATAAATACAACAGAACAATACTTACACATAAATACAACAGAACAATACTTACACATAAATACAACAGAACAATACTTACACATAAACAGAACAATACTTACACATAAACAGAACAGAACAATACTTACACATAAACAGAACAGAACAATACTTACACATAAATACAACAGAACAATACTTACACATAAATACAACAGAACAATACTTACACATAAATACAACAGAACAATACTTACACATAAATACAACAGAACAATACTTACACATAAATACAACAGAACAATACTTACACATAAAAAGAACAGAACAATACTTACACATAAATACAACAGAACAATACTTACACATAAATACAACAGAACAATACTTACACATAAATACAACAGAACAATACTTACACATAAACACAACAGAAATACAGAACAGAACAATACTACACATAAACAGAACAGAACAATACTTACACATAAACAGAACAGAACAATACTTACACATAAATACAACAGAACAATACTTACACATAAATACAACAGAACAATACTTACACATAAATACAACAGAACAATACTTACACATAAACAGAACAGAACAATACTTACACATAAATACAACAGAACAATACTTACACATAAACAGAACAGAACAATACTTACACATAAACAGAACAGAACAATACTTACACATAAATACAACAGAACAATACTTACACATAAATACAACAGAACAATACTTACACATAAATAGAACAGAACAATACTTACACATAAATACAACAGAACAATACTTACACATAAATACAACAGAACAATACTTACACATAAATACAACAGAACAATGCTTACACATAAATACAACAGAACAATACTTACACATAAATACAACAGAACAATACTTACACATAAATACAACAGAACAATACTTACACATAAATACAACAGAACAATACTTACACATAAACAGAACAGAACAATACTTACACATAAACAGAACAGAACAATACTTACACATAAATACAACAGAACAATACTTACACATAAATACAACAGAACAATACTTACACATAAACAGAACAGAACAATACTTACACATAAATACAACAGAACAATACTTACACATAAACAGAACAGAACAATACTTACACATAAATACAACAGAACAATACTTACACATAAATACAACAGAACAATACTTACACATAAATACAACAGAACAATACTTACACATAAATACAACAGAACAATACTTACACATAAATACAACAGAACAATACTTACACATAAATACAACAGAACAATACTTACACATAAATACAACAGAACAATACTTACACATAAATACAACAGAACAATACTTACACATAAATACAACAGAACAATACTTACACATAAATACAACAGAACAATACTTACACATAAATACAACAGAACAATACTTACACATAAACAGAACAGAACTATACTTACACATTACAACAGAACAATACTTACACATAAATACAACAGAACAATACTTACACATAAATACAACAGAACAATACTTACACATAAATACAACAGAACAATACTTACACATAAACAGAACAGAACAATACTTACACATAAATACAACAGAACAATACTTACACATAAATACAACAGAACAATACTTACACATAAACAGAACAGAACAATACTTACCGGTACACATAAATACAACAGAACAATACTTACACATAAATACAACAGAACAATACTTACACATAAATACAACAGAACAATACTTACACATAAATACAACAGAACAATACTTACACATAAACAGAACAGAACAATACTTACACATAAATACAACAGAACAATACTTACACATAAACAGAACAGAACAATACTTACCGGTACACATAAATACAACAGAACAATACTTACACATAAATACAACAGAACAATACTTACACATAAATACAACAGAACAATACTTACACATAAACAGAACAGAACAATACTTACACATAAATAGAACAATACTTACACATAAATACAACAGAACAATACTTACACATAAATACAACAGAACAATACTTACACATAAACAATACAACAGAACAATACTTACACATAAACAGAACAGAACAATACTTACCATAAATACACATAACATACAACAGAACAATACTTACACATAAATACAACAGAACAATACTTACACATAAACAGAACAGAACAATACTTACACATAAATACAACAGAACAATACTTACACATAAATACAACAGAACAATACTTACACATAAATACAACAGAACAATACTTACACATAAATACAACAGAACAATACTTACACATAAACAGAACAGAACAATACTTACACATAAATACAACAGAACAATACTTACACATAAACAGAACAGAACAATACTTACACATAAATACAACAGAACAATACTTACACATAAATACAACAGAACAATACTTACACATAAATACAACAGAACAATACTTACACATAAATAGAACAGAACAATACTTACACATAAATACAACACATAAACAGAACAGAACAATACTTACACATAAACAGAACAGAACAATACTTACACATAAACAGAACAGAACAATACTTACACATAAACAGAACAGAACAATACTTACACATAAATACAACAGAACAACACTTACACATAAATACAACAGAACAATACTTACACATAAATACAACAGAACAATACTTACACATAAATAGAACAAACAATACTTACACATAAATAGAACAGAACAATACTTACACATAAATACAACAGAACAATACTTACACATAAATACAACAGAACAATACTTACACATAAATACAACAGAACAATACTTACACATAAATACAACAGAACAATACTTACACATAAATACAACAGAACAATACTTACACATAAATACAACAGAACAATACTTACACATAAATACAACAGAACAATACTTACACATAAACAGAACAGAACAATACTTACACATAAATACAACAGAACAATACTTAAGACAATAAACCAATAGATTTACTGACACCTTGTGACTTTCTAAGTTAACAAAAGACAAAAATAACAATACCCAATTTATTCAAAAGTTACAAAAGTTGTATTTTTTGGGTGTTTTCAACTGTTAATTAACAATGAAGAGGTCTGAATCTTAATATGAATATTGATTTTATTGTGACAATAGCGTGACAGATTTTCTTTTCAGAAAATTAAGTGATAACGGGGCATAAGTTGCTCTATGATAACGATGTACTGAGATATGACTATCGGTCAGAGTATTTCGTTGGGTTTTATTTTTCTTTCAATGTGTTATGTATGGTTAAATGTAGAACTTCAGGTTCAGAGGTACTCTTAAGGAGGATTTTTATTTCAGGAACTAAATCTTTATTTCAAACTGAGTTTTTTCAATTTTCCAAATTAATTTTTCTAATCTTTTTATTACTAAGGACCAGCAAAGTACTTCAAGTTAAGTACAGTACAGGTATATGAGTTTTCTGTGTACGAATAAATGAAGTTCTACTATACCTTACCATAAATCTGTAGTGTATATTGCTCCCTTACCATTAATCTGTAGTGTATATTGGTCCTGTACCATTAATCTGTAGTGTATATTGGTCCCGTACCATTAATCTGTAGTGTATATTCGTCCCTTACCATTAATCTGTCCCTTACCATTAATCTGTAGTGTATATTGGTCCCTTACCATTAATCTGTAGTGTATATTGGTCCCTTACCATTAATCTGTAGTGTATATTGGTCCCTTACCATTAATCTGTAGTGTATATTGGTCCTGTACCATTAATCTGTAGTGTATATTGGTCCTGTACCATTAATCTGTAGTGTATATTGGTCCTGTACCATTAATCTGTAGTGTATATTGGTCCCTTACCATTAATTTGTAGTGTATTTTTGTCCCTTACCATTAATCTGTAGCGTATATTTGTCCCTTACCTTGCCGTTGATCTTAAGTGCTATATTTGTGACAGCACCACCATGTTCGTAGGTTATGGGTGGCGTGTCTGACCAGCCACCAGCTACATCTATTCTAGCAGGACATTCAGCAATCACCCACTTTCCAATATCAGGTGCATCACAAAACTCCAGTTTGAAGTTCTGAAGGACAAAAAAGAGATTAAAACGGTACGGTGTTGGATCCTCCCAATGGTCTACAAATAAATACCTTGTACTGTCTTGTGTATAACACACTCTTCAGAAACATGTTCAATGCTAACTGTATGTATTGTTCATCAGGATGTGAAAAGTAAAGGAATCTTAAATTCTTGATTCTGAGAAAATCTATGGAAACAAAAATAAGTAAGACAGATAGACCAATGGATGGAAAAACAGACAAAGCAATAACTACTTGATGAAGTAGGATAAATGTGTTCAATATATATGAGTTAAGGTTCATGTGCCAAATAGGATGCATGGTTTGGGTATATATGAGTTCAAATTGATAGTTAAAAAAATGTTGAAAAAGGAAATAACTGAAGTACAATTATATACTGGGAAAAAAAGTAAAAAACTCTTTTAAAAAATCACAGAAGAATATCAAGTAACCTGTACTGACATGGTGCTATACCACGACATAGACAGTTTCTACAGACAGCTAATTGTTATGTACCTCCTTGGCTGTCATGACTGCCTGACGGATAAGGATGGCTGCGGCTCCCTCGTAATGTCTTGCTGCCCGAGTCAACAAGTCTGGTCGTCCTAGCCAACTTGCTCGGATCTTTGCGAGGGAATCTATTCCTCCTGCTAGGTCACCTTTCTGGGGACAAACATAACAACCTCTTATTGCCATAGATAGGGGCATTACTACCACATGTATGAAATATTGAATACCTCAGACTAGGGCCATCTTATATCAAACTGATCATACATACAGTTCATAACAAGGATGTATAATTTACAAAATAAGTAAGAATTAAAAAGGAAAAAATTGTTGTGTAAAACAGTTAAAGGTTTAACAATCTCAAAAACATCAGATTAAAACTGTCCATAGAAACAAAGTGTCTGTTGATCCAATGCTATCCTCAGTATTCCTTGGGAGTTCGGAGACTCACCTCCAATTGATGGAAGGCCCTAGTCCAGGACTTATTGGCAGCTGGTCCACTCCTAAGGCCTCCTTTGGTAGCAGCCATACACCCTAACACATCAGCAATGTTGGCAAGGGTACGAGCTGCAACTCCTGGCATTCCCTGACACTCCTTGGCCACTGTAATAAAAAATCACATTACGGAAGAGAGTTTAACACATCACATTTATATGTAAAACTTACTGATCACCTACCCACTGATACATCAAGATTTCTTGAATTATATACTATGATTTTTGTTCACAGTTTTACAAATATTTGTAAAACAAATTAGATGTGTTTCTCATGATGTCAAAAAATAGACTTGGTTTTCTTTAATATCGTTACTCTCAAGGTAACGTGAAATCCTATCCCTTATACATATAGTACACAAATACAAAGACTCCAGACCTATTGCTTGTTGAAAAAGAATTTCTAATATCTTGACTTATTTGACACAAGTGACCTTGTGTTAAAGAACCAACATGAACAGCCCAGACATTGTTTTTATTGATAAGAAGTCATTTGAAAATTTTAACACATTTGACCTATGTGACCTTAAAAAAGGGACAAGGTCAACTACATGAACAAAATTTGTAACCTTTCATCCCAGCATGCCACAGATCCAATATCAGCATCATCAGCCTTTTGGTTATGGAGAAGAAGTTGTTTAAGATCTTTACATATTTCATCTTTGTGACCTTGAAAGTTAGTCAAGGTCAACCACATGACCAAAACCTGGTAACCTTTCATTCCAGCATACTACAGGTCCAATATCAGTAACCTTGACCTTTTGATTACTGAGAAGAAGTAATTTGAATGTTAAGTTAAAATGGAAAGTTTACACACATGGCAGACTGCTCATGACTACTGCAAAACACTTTGGCTGTAGGTCATCCTGACTCTTTTGGGTCAGATGGCCTAAAAACCAATTTTTCACAATGAGTTCCTAACCTTGGTCGAGTGTTACCAGAATTTCCTGTGAGAATCCGTCTATATGGGCACTGTTGTAGATGGAACGAAAACCATGGTGACTACTTTGTAGTAAATCTCGCCTGATGTGAATTTTACTCACATTGTAAAATAAAGTCCTGTGAAAAAACAACTATGATTAGACACCTCATAGAGTATTTTCTACCATAACACATTGTGTTATTCCACTCTCAGGACCACTGTGTAAACATGCTGATGATTGTATAAATACGACCTTCCAGTCTTTTAATTGGTTAAGAAGTTGAACTTTGACCCAAAAGGTGCTTCAAGCATTTATGGAAATCAAAAACAGGCAATATGTAGTTCACAATTTTTTTAAGATTATTTTTTCAACCTGGAATTCTAACAATAAATTACTTTGAAAATTAATTAACTCATTTACTACTTGTTATCATTTGAAATTAATTATAATTTTTCCTTGTATTTGCATATTTATTAGCCACATGTTACTATGCTCCAATTGATGTCATTAGAAAAATATATGTTGGTATAAGATAAGTAATTTCATCCCTGTATCTTTCAAAAAAATAAGTAAATCCAGAGAAATTCCATATCCCACAACCATTTGTTGTGTATCTGTAGGAATACAGCCGAACACATTAACTGTAACATGTCACTGCAAAAGTTCAAATCTTTATCTCAGAAAGATTTATCTTTAGATTTACTTGATAATTTCCCACCATATCAAATTCAGAACCACTGCTTTTACATGATTAATTGATGTTAATGGAGATAGAGACCATCAATTCTAGATAATGATTTCATGGACTGATTACATTTAGAACCACTGTTTACACAGTTAAACAAGGAGCTCCATGTAGCCACTTCTTCACAATGAAAATGTCAAACTACATCAGACCCTAACCAATCATCACATTGGATAAATTAAGAACCGTCAGAAGCAATGAAACAAATTACTTTTTCCAGCGGATCTCCTCTTCCATACTGACACACGACAGGATATCATTGAGTGACAATCTCCAGGATGACCGCCATCTGTACAAAAAAAGAAGACATTTTGACCATAATATTAGTTTACAATCTGTAAATTTCCTAGAAATGAAGATAAATACTGATGGAGAGACATTGTTTACCTATCACCACATCTAGTAAGGCTTTCAGGGGACAAATATCTTGTAAGGCTGGCAATGTCACACTGGATTTAGTGAGACGTTAATAAAGGGATAAAAAAGGACACAATTCACACCTGCGTATGATAGTCTGATCTGTATCCTCTAGTTCTCCATGAAGCCATGAGATCTCCTCCAGACCAAGTTCCTCAGAAGAGTGGAACACAGGGAACAGTCTCGCATTGAGAACTGTCTGGTTATCACTGTCCTGTATATAAAGATAACATATCCATGATTGATTGTTGAATGAAATGGACATTTTTACACACATGCAATGACTGATGATACACATACTTCATAAGATAGTGTAAGAATAATACTCACCACATCGGGTCCCCACAGATCCTCTTTGATGATGCCTGTCAGGTTCAGAAACACCACCCAGGGGTTGTTACAGAAAGTTGTCGTACTCTTGTACATAGGGGCCTGTAAATATATAACACATAATATCTGTATATATTACACATAGGGGCCTGTAAATATATTACACATAAGATCTATATATATTACACATAGAGGCCTGAATATATAACATAGAAGATCTGTATATACCAAACACAGGGGCCTGTATCTATAACACAGAGGATCTGTATATACCACACACAGGGGCCTGTATTCATAACACAGAGGATCTGTATATACCACACACAGCGGCCTGTATCTATAACACAGAAGATCTGTGTATTCCACACAAAGGGGCCTATATTTATAACACAGAAGATCTGTACATACCACACATATGGGTCTGTATATACCACAAAAAGGGGCCTGTATATATAACATAGGAGATCTGTATATACCACACATATGGGTCTGTGTATATCATACACAGGGGCCTGTATTTATAACACAGAAGATCTGTAGATACCACACACAGGGGCCTGTATTTATAACATAGAAGATCTGTGTATTCCACACACAGGGGCCTATATTTATAACACAGAAGATCTGTACATACCACACACAGGGGCCTGTATTTATAACATAGAAGATCTGTATATATCACACAGGGGCCTGTATTTATAACATAGAATATCTCTGTATATCATACATATAGTCTTATAACACAAAAGGGCCTGAAACTTGTTAAACTTTTTAGTGTTCAGCACCTTCTTTAACATGGTCAAACTGTCTTTGGAGTAACTAGTTTGATTCAGTCAGTACCTTCTTTGATGCTGTCAAAATTTCCATGTGAGGTACTTACCTTGATACAGTCAAACTCTCTGTGTACAGAACCTACCTTGCAGTCAGATTTTCCACGTACAGTACCTACCTTGACACAATCAAACTTTCTGTGTATAGTACTTATCCAATCTTTCTGTGTATATTACCTACCTCAACACGATCAAACTTTCTGGGTATAGTATCTATCCAAACTTTCTGTGTATAGTACCTACCTCAACACGATCAAACTTTCTGTGTATAGTACCTACCCCAACACGATCAAACTTTCTGTGTATAGTACCTATCCAAACTTTCTGTGTATAGTACCTGCCTCAACATGATCAAACTTTCTGGGTATAGTATCTATCCAAACTTTTCTCTGTGTATAGTACCTATCCAAACTTTCTGTGTATAGTACCTACCTCAACATGATCAAACTTTCTGTGTATATTACCTACCTCAACATGATCAAACTTTCTGTGTATAGTACCTACCTCAACACGATCAAACTTTCTGTGTATAGTACCTACCTCAACACGATCAAACTTTCTGTGTATAGTACCTACCTCAACACGATCAAACTTTCCATGTGTAGTGAGGACATTCACAGTTTTCTCCAGTGTACTTAGATAGATCCTGAAGCATTGTACAACGGTGTAGTCTCCGATCTTTACTGTCTTCTTCAGGTCAGTCTGTTAGAGGAACAACAAACAACCAAATGGTGAACAGATATCTATAACAATAATTTATCTATTCTTGATACTGAGCAATACATATCTCCACATCAATATATGAGAAGAAATGACCAGCTCTTCAAGATCTTTATTTGACAAGCTTATCTTAACATATACTAATCTAAAAATTACAGAAAAATTATCAAACATTACTTGTATAGTTAACTTGTTTTTATCTAATACAACACAACAATAAATCACAATACCACATAAATACTTTTCTCTTTATACAACAATATTCCTATCAATTCAGTATGATTACAGATCCATGTACCTTTAACTCTTTGTAACTAAAGCACACACTTACCTTGAGCTGGGCATCAACACACAGTCCTGTTACCAGGCAACCCCGACCCACCTCCATGCGTCCACCTAGCTGACAGTCTGTGATGATGGACTTGGAACTGACCATCACTTTATCACTGAGGACACTGTTGATTAGGATGGCATCATCTTCTACTTTACACTTGTCCTACAAACCATAACCATACAGGTATGTACGTCATTCTACTTTACACTTGTCCTACAAACCATACAGGTATGTATGTCATTCTACTTTACACTTGTCCTACAAACCATACAGGTATGTACGTCAATCTACTTTACACTTGTCCTACAAACCATACAGGTATGTACGTCAATCTACTTTACACTTGTCCTACAAACCATACAGGTATGTACGTCAATCTACTTTACACTTGTCCTACAAACCATACAGGTATGTACATCATTCTACTTTACACTTGTCCTACAAACCATACAGGTATGTATGTCATTCTACTTTACACTTGTCCTACAAACCATACAGGTATGTACGTCAATCTACTTTACACTTGTCCTACTAACCATACAGGCATGTACGTCAATCTATTTCACACTTGTCCTACAAACCATACAGGCATGTAGGTCAATCTACTTTACACTTGTCCTACAAACCATACAGGTATATATTTAAATCTACTTTATATTTGTCCTACTAACCATACAGGTATATATTAAAATCTACTTTACACTTGTCCTACAAACCATACAGGTATGTACGTCAATCTACTTTACACTTGTCCTACAAACCATACAGGTATATATTTAAATCTACTTTATACTTGTCCTACTAACCATACAGGTATATATTAAAATCTACTTTACACTTGTCCTACAAACCATACAGGTATGTACGTCAATCTACTTTACACTTGTCCTACAAACCATACAGGTATGTACGTAAATCTACTTTATACTTGTCCTACAAACCATACAAGTATATACTATCTTTTTCACACTTGTGCTACTATACATATTTACAGTGTTACCTGTAGCTAGACACACAGACTACCTGTATATACTTCTTTCTAAACATTTCTTGGGTGTTGGCAATATCATGATAACATCAAATGTCCAAATAACTTGAGATGTTCTAAATAGCACTGGATGTCTGGGTAACACAAATTGTCTAATACCATTGAGATGTTCAATATAGCTGCAGTGTGTGGAATGTTTCACTGGTAAACAGAATTATATACAGAAGATGACAATATTAAGCCCCAAAAAACCATGTCTTTACTAGTAAAAGTGAAAACAATTACCTGTACTAATGAATGGTTGATGTCTTGCCAGGTGATCTCTGATTTGTGAAAGTTATTTTTGTATGGACAATCAAGTAAGATGGCTTCATGATCTAAGGGACAGCTAACCAGGTAATGGAACTCTCCTTTCTCTACCATACCTGGATAAAAAAAACAGACATTAACCAAGTAAAGGAACTCTCCTTTCTCTACCATACCTGGATAAAAAAAATAGACACTGACATAATATCAAAGGAAACATGAAACAATGTACCTGGATTTTTTGCCTTCAATCCATGGCTGCACAAAACTATCTTCATTATTAGTTTCTGATTCTGAAAATTAATTCAATTTGGCCAGATTCTTTCCTTTTATCTGTCAAGTGATGCAGTGGACATTATTTTAAATGATTCTCCCTGCATAAACATTAACTATTTTACAAGATGTCTACACTCCTTGACACAGTAAAACAACATACATGCCCATATTTTAAAGTTGTGTAGATTCTGCCATAGGATCTGTCTCGCTGACCTCATTGTCTTAATGATGTTGTCTGACCCAGGTAGGTGGGCTTGACCCTTGACCCCACTTCGACCTCCAGATACAAATTCCTTCTCATTTACATCACTTGTCATTGGTAACATGACATCAAAGAAGAGTGACAACTACAACATAAAGCATATCAAATTACTCTACATCTATCCAACCAAGTGTGAAGTACCTACAGATCTGGTAAACATTTGTTACCTCAGAAGACAGGTATGAAGTATAAAACACCTTATTATCCTACAGTAAAGCAACCATTACTTTGGTAAAAATAAGGTGACTGTGCTAGATCAAGATAATGGTCTATATCTTAATAATAATAAGGTGACTGTTAGAACAAGAAAATGATCTCTATCTAATACATGCACAGCCACATATTAAACTATCAAATTTCTGAGAAAGGAGTAGAAACTTATACTCTCTAAGTTCAAGTGCTTTAAACTACAGAATAAATATGCTGACAAGAACTAATTAGGAACTTGGCCTGTATCTCCTCATTACACAACTACATATCAAATTTTAGTTGAACTTTCCATCCATCAAAGAGTAAATCAACAGACACAAATGAGGTCAAAATGACAAGGGACAACTGTGTACTCTGGTCATTTCATGGCAGGCCATGAAAATAAAGTTTGTAAAACTATAACTTTAATTAACATTTCAGCATACATTTCCATGTATATACTTACCTGTATAGGGGGCTGACCACTGTCCACTCCCATGTAGGTACAAGCATCCAATGGAGGCTTTGTGTGAAAGGACAGGAGGGTCTCAGTTACAACATGACTGAGGTAGATTACAGAACACACCTGTAAAACATAAGTACATGTTTTATTTAACAGAAATCAGGTTTAGCATTCATAACTTCCCTGCCACCTGTATATTTCCCTTGAAGTGATAAAGAAGAGAAGGTTTGTGGCTCTGTTCCCTTCTTGGTATGCATCATTTTGCATTCTTAAAGTGCACATGCAGACCAGTGTCATCAATGCATGAACATATGTTTCATTAAGCTCCAAAATACTGTATTTTTCCAGACTGTCAAGACATAAGGTCAAAGGTCAAAGGATAGGATGACAAGTCACATTATATACCAGCATACTAAAGTTGGATGTTAATGCCTGAGACATTAGACAAGACATGATGGGAGGATGTAGAGAAGGAAGTGTACACAGAAGGACAAGATAGATAGATACACTATTATACTATCTATAGTGGATTATATAGGTGTCACCTCCAAAAATATCTATACTAAAATCAATTGATCCAAAAAGTGTATTCACCACTGGGACAGTTCCATCAGGTCTCTCACAGCACTCCAGTCCTCCCAAGTCCTTCTGATACAGTATATCTGTCACATATCCCTGTAAATAGTAGCAAAGTCAATCATACAAAGAACTGATAGAGACGAGAGGGCCCATCTATGACCTGGTTTTTAACAAAATAGAAGTAAATAAATTTTTGAGACTGATCACAAAAAGCGTAAACATCTAAGGCACAGAAGGAATAAAACTAACAGCTGCATCATGTTTACACTGTAATCTAATCATACCATACATTGTTTACAATTTCAGTGTAAAATTGTTATAGCAGAACCAATCACAATTCATAAAACAGTACCTCAGCATATATATATTTCCTTGGTCTTATGTTGTATGAAGGTGTGAAGTCACAGAAACGACACTTAAATTTCTCTGTTTGTATCTGATAAAAGTGCGTCATTATAGAAACCATACACATAAATTTCCCTGGTAATATATATATCTAGTGAAACATCACACATCAACAAATTAATTAGTTGTTGATGAGAAAGTGACATAGTAAACCTTACTGTATAAATTCTTACCTCTGTGTTGATCTTATAGACACCATGGTCACGACAGTATTTTGGCGTACTTGGAACTGTGATCACACACACATCAGAATCTTGCCAAGGAATGGCTACAATTAGAAACGGATAAATCTCAAATCTTCATCTCAACCCATATCATCAACCAAAAGACAAAGAAGTAGGTTTATGTTTATTTTAATGATAATACTTGATTTGGTAGTAGTAGTAGGAAGTTCTTATCCTGTTCACATAGTAGGGGTATTCTGGAAGTATCTTCTGGCACAGGTACCTCCTTGCATAAAACCTCCTAACTAAACACCCTGAATTGTTTTGTTAAACTTTTCCCTATTTTTTTGTACAAATGTTTAATAGCAAAATTTCAGTAATTCCTTGACTAGTGATGGTAAAACTAATAAGGTTGTTTATCACGCATAAAGTGATGGAGTGAAATTTAGAGTAGTCCATGCCTCACATTTTTATTGATGTCAGTCTAAAGGTCCTATCCTCATTTTAAGAGCTCATTTCAAAGGTCATTTCCTCACATTTTAAAGGTAATTTCCTGGCATTTCAACAGTCATTTTGTCACCTTCAACTAGGATATCGTTGACTAAGAACAGACACTCTTGTCTATGAAATATTATTTTCCATACACTTGCCAAACAAATTTTGATGACAATCCAAGGAGGAAGATATTACACACAAAACCGTCAAAACACCAGGGAGTATTATAAACTGTTACAGGATAAGATCTAAAATTACACTTATTTACAAACCTGCATTTTCTGGAATGGAAAGTATCATATCAACACTACTGACCCAAACTCCAGGCGGGGACTTGACAGCCAACTGGAACAAAGAGATCAGGTAGAAATTCATATTTACCCCTCAGGTAACAGGCAGGAATGCAAGTTATCTTTAACACTCTATAAAGACAAATGGAGAAGAACTTACCTTTTCTGTGAGGTTTTTTAGCAGCAAGTCCAACTGACATGTCATACCATCATATTCAGGGGAGGTAAGAGAGGCAGGTAAAGTAATGAATGCCCTACCACATGGCTCATAAGGGTAATTACGGCCCTGAAACGACATTTACATTCTGTAACATATAAACACATTATACATATTCAATACAAAATTTACTAACACACTGTAAACAATGGCAAATTGAAGACAAATATTACACATTATAATTCTTAAATTGTCACTTACACAGTGCAGGATGAGAACTTTGGATTCCTGGAGAACATCAGGATTTATGATCTAAAAAAACACAGAATCATTTATAAACATCAGTTGAATGATATTACATATTTTTAACTAAAACACGTTCTTTAAAAGAAAATAATCTCTGTTTTGTCCAGAGATCCTGAGATGTATTTCAAAAATGTGGCAGCTGTTTTCTAGATTACTGTGTGCAGCAATGTCTGATCTGTAGCATTTCAACAAATCTGAAGAAGTTCTATTTGTAACAAGAACCATTGAATGAATTCTGTAAACCCTTCAATGTCATCAGCACCTCTATAATACCAGAAATACAGAAACCAGGTTGGTCTGAGGAGTTTAAATAACTGAACAGGTTGGAATTGCATGAAATCTGATCCTAGCCGGCATTGAGGCCTGGATCAGAAGCAGTGTCCACAATTTGTTGAAACCTTCATGTCTAAGCATATATTTCCTTGTATTTCCAGTTCATTTTATACCCTACTCTTGATGTTATTGCAATCAACTGAGAATCAACTTACATTATCAACCCAGACGTTTCAAGATGACCTTAACCTTTCCTTTGAAATGTGACCTTGACATACTTACAGAGTATCCTTTTTGTGCAGACAGGTACTCGGTGACAGTGAGGAGAGCATTGATGGTGGCACCTCCACTACCCACACTTGATTTGGGATCCTCTACTGTGAGTAAAAGGACCCCTTTGTCTATCTGCCCCTTTGCTTGACGAATCTCTAACTCTGAAATAGATAGCCCCAAGGTAGAACTCATCAGTAACTTGTAATTTCTCATATACACCAGTGGTAGTTCAAGTCAGTGATAAGTTTATTACCTGTCTGTAAGGTGTTTGCCCATTGTCTGTTGGCACATGTCAGCACAATGGCTGTCCACTTCACCCTCTCCGCCATGCCAATTCTTCTGCAACAGAAATTTCTCTCAATCAACCATTCATCTATCTTTTCATTTTTAACCATCTAAAATATATGATGAACATTTTAGATTAAGTGATAACCTTACAAAATTCTTACTAATTAAAGTTTAAAAGCTTGATCGGCTAACTTTTCATCATGCCTGATGTCAAATAAGTCAGTCTATAGTGTAGCTAGATCAGAGTAATAAGTCAGTCTATAGTGTAGCTAGATCAGAGTAATAAGTCAGTCTATAGTGTAGCTAGATCAGGGTTATAAGTCAGTCTATAGTGTAGCTAGATCAGGGTTATAAGTCAGTCTATAGTGTAGCTAGATCAGGGTTATAAGTCAGTCTATAGTGTAGCTAGATCAGGGTTATAAGTCAGTCTATAGTGTAGCTAGATCAGGGTTATAAGTCAGTCTATAGTGTAGCTAGATCAGGGTTATAAGTCAGTCTATAGTGTAGCTAGATCAGGGTTATAAGTCAGTCTATAGTGTAGCTAGATATGGGTAATAAGTCAGTCTATAGTGTAGCTAGGTCAGGGTAATAAGTCAGTCTATAGTGTAGCTAGGTCAGGGTAATAAGTCAGTCAATAGAGTAGCTAGGCCTGGGTAATAAGTCAGTCTATAGTGTAGCTAGATCAGAGTAATAAGTCAGTCTATAGTGTAGCTAGATCAGGGTTATAAGTCAGTCACTAGTATAGGGAGGTGGCCTGTGTAATATGTCAGTCTATAGTGTAGCTAGGCCTGGGTAATAAGTCAGTCTATAGTGTAGCTAGGCCTGGGTAATAAGTCAGTCTATAGTGTAGCTAGATCAGAGTAATAAGTCAGTCTATAGTGTAGCTAGATCAGAGTAATAAGTCAGTCTATAGTGTAGCTAGATCAGAGTAATAAGTCAGTCTATAGTGTAGCTAGATCAGAGTAATAAGTCAGTCTATAGTGTAGCTAGATCTGGGTTATAAGTCAGTCTATAGTGTAGCTAGGCCTGGGTAATAAGTCAGTCTATAGTGTAGCTAGATCTGGGTAATAAGTCAGTCTATAGTGTAGCTAGGCCTGTGTAATAAGTCAGTCTATAGTGTAGCTAGGCCTGGGTAATAAGTCAGTCTATAGTGTAGCTAGGCCTGTGTAATAAGTCAGTCTATAGTGTAGCTAGGCCTGGGTAATAAGTCAGTCAATAGCGTAGTTAGACCTGGGTAATAAGTCAGTCAATAATGTAGCTAGACCTGGGTAATAAGTTAGTCATTTTTTTTTTTTTTTTTATCAAACCCAAAATCAAATGGGCACAAAAGGGACCAAGGGGAACATATATATGAAATTTAAGAAAGATCCATCCAATACTTCTTAAGAAAAAGCAATAACAAACTTTCAAAGTTAAAATATTAGAGGCCCGGCTTTCTGACTTTTTTTTATCTGTCCCAAAATCAAATGGGCTACATTTGAAAGAGATCCATCTTTTACTTTTCAAGAAATTGCAATAACAAACTTCATTGCAAAAAAATCCAAGATGGCAGCCTGTTGGCTATTTTGTTTTTTTATCAGTCCCAAAATCAAACAGACACATATTTTGAGCAAGATCCATCCAGTACTTCTCAAGAAACAGCGATAACAATAATTGTTTACCGACGGGCTGACCATGGACACAAAGCGATTTGAATAGGCCAACTCCAGACTGGCTGGAAGATTAAAAAGTGGCAGTTGGAATTTAATTCAGGGAAAATCTTTGCACTTTGACCACAACAAAAGGAGCAGATACACTATGAATGGTGAGGAAAAATACTACAAGGAGATCATGAAAAAGACCTAGGAGTCACAATTGAAACTGACTTGAAGTTCAGTATACATGTTGCCAGTTGTGTGAAAAATGCGAACAGACCGATAGAGCTATGGAAGAGGTTGTTCATGCATATGGACAAAGAAATGATTATTGTGTAAGGCCCTCAGTAGACCACATTTGGAGTATGCTTAAACTGTATGTAATCCACTGTTAATGTGCAAAAAAGAGCCACTAAGCTTGTTCAATCTTTAAAGGACTTATCATATCCAGACAGACTACTAGCACTCGGACTCCCAACCTTACAATATAGGAAAGAGGTCGGATGTCAGTCAAATCTATAGAATCATCAATGGAAGTGAATAAACAGATAGAGAATGTTTGAAATTATCAATAGCAACAGAAAAAGGGGGCATATATAACTTCAAAATCCAGCAGAAACATTCAAGACTACACTGAAGGGCGCACCCATTAGAACTGAGACTGGAACTGTTTACCGAATGAAGTGATCATTGCAAGAAGGCTGAATGCATTCAAATCAAGGGTAAACAATTCTATACACTTAAACATATAGGAAAACACTTAAATAAACTAGGCACAAATATTTTGGACAATGAAGCACAATTGACAAAGGAAGGCAATTTTCGACTTGTGCCTTGTCTGAGCCTCCGACTCAAGATCTACAGCACCAAATGGCACTGCAAAGACATTTCAAACTGCCATCGCATCCCCCCAAAAAAAGATGTTTGGAAGTTGTATTGATAGACAGCAGGAAATCCTCTACATGATCATAGTGATAAAACGTCTAATTATATCATAGGAACACCTGGATCGTAATGTATATTCATACATGGATAAAAAGTGTTCAAATAACACACATCAAACACGGGTACAAACAAGGTATTGTATACAGTATACAAAGGTTCTCGATTTGAATTACCTGTGGTTACATGCTTGAGCTTGATATGCAAAATATTGTTTGTTATTTCTGTTTACTTTGTTTCTGTCTTTGTTTGTGACCATATTGTCCCTAATATTTTTATAACTTTTTATCTGTTTTATGTTCCATGTATGTGATGTACTTTATGTAATATTTGTGTCTAGATAAAGGAGCAGATTGCCCTCGATAGACCACATTTGGTGACTAATGCAAGAACGCTAAATGCATTCAAATCAAAGATAAACCATTAGACAGGACTAAATGTCAAGTTCTATCCAGATTGTTACTAGTAAGGAGGTATCTACTAGGAGAAAAGAGGTCCGGGAATTATATACACAACAGATTTAAACGTAAACATTGACATCCATCCAAAGCTTTAATTTTAAATACGTGAAGTGGGTTTTTTTCTATTTGAACAGACTAGTTCAGATATCGTCACGCAAAACCAACGATAAAATCAAGACTGACGAATCAAGGTGGTCTAGAAGATTAAATAACTTGTGCAGACAGAAGATCGGGTGAATATAGTAATCCAAAACCGGCGATCCAAAACTAAGTCCTAGTATGGACATCGTCCGGAGGTTGGGGAATGAGCTGGCAAAAATCAAAACACGTCGGCAAGAAAAATCGCATCTACAATCATAAAAGAAATCCATCTACAAATACCTTTGTACGACGCGTTGGACACAGCTACTTCACAGAATGAAACTAACACCGTGCATGTGGTCCCGATCACGAAATGCACACGCTTGTATATGTGTGTGTAAAAAACAGAAGAGTTCCTCTTTACTTACAGTTATCGTTCCTAGTCCATACTATCCTCGGCAGCTGTCGAGCTTATCGCTGTAAGCAAATCTTGGAGATCAGAATGCGTTGTTTAGTGCCAACGTTGTGTGATCTTATTTGTTCTCTGTATGTTGGATCCGTCCTCTTCCTTTTCTGTTTAGTTTGTATATTTAATTCAAAATGTTTTTTGCAAAATGTTAGATATATACTACAAGATCTTATAATATCTTTGAAAATTATGATCCGTGAACACGAGTTTAAATATCAATAATATAAGTCTGTGCTTTTAACCGAACTAAAGATCAGCCGCTGCAGATCTTGTAATATAGACATTACCTAATTGACTTGCCAAATTGATATTAAAAAACACAACAAAAACTGTTAAGTAAAAAGGAAAAATATCTTAAATGTAAAAACATGGAAAACATTGAACTGAAATTATATGTCGAAAAATTTCTCACTTGCCTACAGAGCGTGTCAGTGAAGTGGTTGTATCTATTTTAATCCTGAAGACTTAGACAAGAAAATTACCACAAGATAATGCTTCACGACAAATTCATCTCAAACTGCACCAAACACAACTTTTTAGGAAAATTACAGAAAACGGCGAAACAATGTCACCAAATTAAGAAAACAATAAACCGGCCAAATACAGAACACGGCGACACAAATCACTAAACTCTAAAAACTGGGACAAAACACAGAAAACAGAGAAGAAAAGTCACTAAATTCAGGAAACAGACAATAAAACTGAGGAAACTACAGAACACAACAAAGCAAAGTCAACAAACTCAGAAAGCAATAACAAAAATTGGAGAAATGATGAAAAATTTTGTAACAAAAGCTGTCAAAGTTGACGTTGTTTTGAAAGAACAGGGAAAATGAATGAATTAATAAATTGATGAAGTTGACATTTTTATAGCTTTCTTGATGTGAGTGTTGCAAAAATATGCATTAAACAGCCACGCCATCGATGACGAACATCCTAGACCACAACTAATATCGACAACAAACAACAAGACTTACACTTTCATAAACAAACACTTAAAACAAGATGAACCCCTAAAAACATCTGGACACAGCAATCTGTATCCTGAAACCAGTCACTACGCTTGTAAATCTCTCACTACATCAACATTTCAAGACACACCAAAACAACACACATTAAACCAATATATTAAAACCCTAGCTTTCCCGGCAAAGGAAACTAGAGACCTTCCGAGGTCTTGGAGCGATCCATACACTGCCAGCTCAATGATTTCTCCAGTGATGCTTTTCTTCCCTTCCTCTCTGCCTTTAGAGATGGATCCGGGTGTCCACCAGCAAATAAAGAGTCATTGATGATTGTCACTAGACCAGATTACGAATGTAGACTACAAACTTATGGACCTTTCAAAGGTTTGTGACTCTCTGCATCATATCCTTCTTGTAAAACAAAAAATATGGTCTATCAATTAAAAATCGACCTCAGAAATTTTAACAAACTTCATTATTGTTTCACAAAAAAAAATAAAGAAAAAAGACAACACACACAAACAAAATGTAAAATTAGGAAAAAGTGTCGGTAAATTTCTGGAAGTTTACAAAGGAGTCCCATAAGGAAAATTTATTTCATTCAACACTGCAAACTATATGACTAAGTTGACGAAGCACTCACAAACTTCATAAGACATGGTCAAAACTTCCTTAAACACTACAACTCACCCTTAGATCCAAATGCAAGCAAACCCAGACAAATTCGAAGCCATGACAATGTGCTAATTGCATACATACTTTGTGAAACCCTTGTGTCTTCGTTGTGCAATATTTAAAGCAAATGTTTAAGCTTTTCAAATGTAGGTCAAATGTTACGGTCAAGGTCGCATATTAAAAAATGATATCACCGAAAGGTCTTGTCACGAGAAACACACATGCTAGATATGAAAGCTCTACGTTTTACAGTGCTATAGTTATGGGCAAGGTTAAAGTTGACAACAGACAAACGAACAGACAGTACAAAAACAAAATGCCCCGACCTTTGGAGCCGGGGACATAATAACTAGGTGTCACATGGGCCGTCAGAGACGGGTTATACTGCTCGATTTGGACAAAATTTAAGTATGAAAAATAACACAGGGCAATAAGACATCTATGATTCATGTGTACTGTCCTCCTACTCGTTGAGGCCTCTCTATCATGTTAATACCTCTTGTAGTTTTAGAGTAATGCTCCAGATAAAATTTAACAATGAAAAATAAGAAAGGGCAATAACTCCTAAATTCTGCAATAGAGAGTGATGCTTCTTAAGCATTGTATTTTCCTTACTGTGATCTATCTATATATGAAGTTTTATGTTGATATCTTTTAGTGTAATGCTCAGGACAATATCTCAGTATGAAAAATTATAAAGGGCGATAACTTCTAAACAATACAATAGAGAGTGATGGTTCTTGTTCAATGCATGTCTCCTTGTTGAGATCTATCTACCTATGAAGTTTCGTATTGCTATATGTTATAGTTTTAGTGTTATACTCCGGACAAATTTATGACGAACGGACGGACGGACAAAGCGGCGACTATATACACTCCCTTCGGGGAGTATAAAATAATTTTCCAACCGAATTTCTCTATATATTAACATCTGAAAGAGAGGGAAAAAACTTTCAAACAACTCTACACATCCGAACGTATAGGAAAACACTTAAATAGACTAGGCACGAACGACGATTATATTTGGACATAGTAACACAATAGACAAAGGAAAACAATTTTCGACTCGTTCCCTGTCCGACCATTCCGTTGATATTATTTACTAGATTCTATATATATATATATATAAATAATTTAGTAAGTAATATTGACTAATATTACATAAATTACATCACACATAGAATATAAAACAGCTATTACTTCCTTAATCATATATACTAACCCAATACAAAACCATATGAAAGTCCACACGATTAATTTCAGTCAAATATACCAAATACTGGTTCGATCTTATAGGGTTACCCAACAAATGGGATCGAAGCCGTGTATACGACCTGTGACCCGATATTTATTTACAAGAAACTCTGACTTACTTATGGAGGAGGCTTTAGTCCAATAGAATTCTTATCAGTCTTATATAAAGTATTACAATGTTGTCTGGAGAAGGGCTGTTGGAGTGTCTAAACAATTTGTAACAATGATACAACATTGCAAATCTATTGTTTTCCTTAAGCATCAAAACATCAAAACTCCAAGGAATATTTGTACTAAATTAACCAATCACAGCACTCTAAGCAGACCGTTTCTCAGTGGTGACCACAATGATTTGGACCCATTGTATGAGGTAGCTTTGTATATGTTGCAATCTATTGTACAAAGTATGAGAGCGTCGCTAATTCTGTAAAGAACAGGCGACATGTCCTTAATAATTGTCTTGTAGTTTGACGAAATTCTTACTTTGAGATAGAAAATGATTTTTTTTTCTGGTAGAAAACATTTCGCATGGAAGAGGATACAGTTCAGAACAAGGTATATCAGACCAGACGAGGGATGATTACAGTGTAGATAACAATGGACCATTGTTTGTATCCTAAGTGGACATTTTAGAGGATTAGATCAAATTATTCCTGTAGATTACAGATGATACATCACAAAGGAAGAGTGCATGTTAACATTATATACAGATCTGGGTAGGTCTATGTCCATTAACTGTGTCAAACTCCGCGCACAAGGTAACATTCTACAGTCATCCAATACACCATTATGCTGGTGTGTACAAAACACGTGCATTGCACGATACAATCCGTCGTTATTCAAAATAGTTGGTATATGTGAATGCACAATAATATCGTAGAGTCAGTTTATTTTAACAAGCAATTGTAAATCTATTCTTTGTTTATAAATGTCCTTCGTCGAATATTTTGAATTAAATACAAATATTCCTGCACCATAGAGTATAAAAAATCTAGTTTGATATCCTGTGTATCCTAAATCCAGATAAAAACGCGTATCCTATACTTAGCTATCCTTGTGTATTCTATACCTAGATATTCTCGTGTTTCTTTTTCCGAAATACCCATTATTATCCTACACCAGAAATCTTCGTGTTCAATATATAGCCATTATCGTGTATTCTTCGCCTAGAAATCTTTTTGTATCCTTTACATAGATTTCATCATATATACTATGCCTAGATATCCACGTGTATCATAAATCACGGTGTATTCAATACTTACGTACAGTATCATATGCCTTGGTATCATTATGTTACTTATATGCTGATATTGCTTATTATCTTGCATCAAAAATATCCTCGTGTATCCTCTAACTGGATATTATCGCGTATTCTATAACTATACATTATCGTGTATCAGATATATAGATATCACAGTGTATCATATATCTAGATATCATAGTGTATCCTATATCTAGATATCACAGTGTATCATATATCTATAGATCACAGTGTATCCTATATCTAGATATCACAGTGTATCATATATCTAGATATCACAGTGTATCCTATATCTAGATATCACAGTGTATCCTATATCTAGATATCACAGTGTATCATATATCTATAGATCACAGTGTATCCTATATCTATATCACAGTGTATCCTATATCTAGATATCACAGTGTATCATATATCTAGATATCACAGTGTATCCTATATCTAGATATCATAGTGTATCCTATATCTAGATATCACAGTGTATCATATATCTAGATATCACAGTGTATCCTATATCTAGATATCACAGTGTATCATATATCTATAGATCACAGTGTATCCTATATCTAAATATCACAGTGTATCATAGTGTATATATCTTATCACAGTGTATGTCATCACAGTGTATCCTATACCTATCCTATATCTAGATATCACAGTGTATCTTATATCTAGATATCATTCAGTATCCTATATCTAGATATCACCATATCTGTATCACAGTGTATAATAATAATATAATAATAAATTTATCAT